TCTGCAGTTTCTCTTGGCTTGACTTTTAAATGGGTGGCTTTTAGCTGTAAATTTCTGAGTGAGGAAACATTTGAATTCTGTATTTTGTAGTGTGAAACAAACATGATTTTTTTCTTCCAAGTATACACAGGTACTCTTCAAGTGATGTTTGGAGTGAAAGAAGTTCAGTGATTGACACACACTCATGAGCTCTATGATGCATGACACCCAATTTTGAGCTGTTTGTAGATTTCCAGTACTGACTACAGATCAAAAAATTGTTTATCAAGCATTTACTGAAATCAATTTTTAGGTCAGTAAGTCATAGTGGGGATAGGTGGCTGCTTGACACTTTATTTTCAGCAGCATAGAGAAGTGACAGTGAGGAGATAACAGAAAATGGCACAGGCAGCAAAGTAGGGAGACCGATACAGGGGCTGATAAGGGTACTCCTTCATGTGCCCACGAGTCATCAACATAGGACTGAAATTAATATCGGTGTTCACTTCCAAAGGCTTTACTGCTCCTCTAGAAAGGCTTGTCTCATTCAGTGTACAGTCCTGTGCCCGAACTCAATAAGTTTGTTTATTTGTTTGTTTGTTTTTTGGGGTCTGACTACGTAGTTGAGACTGCCCTGGAACTATGTAGCCCAGGCTGGTCTCAAGCTCACAGTGATCCTCCTGCCTCAGCCTCCCGAGTGCTGAGATTATAGGCGCACACCACCACCATTTTTCAAATGTTTGAAAAAAAATGACATTAAAGGGCTGGAGATTTAGCTTAGTGGTTCCACCACTTCCTCGCAGGTGCAAGGTCCTGAGTTCGATCCCCGGTACCAGAAAAAAATAAAAAGACCCTAAAAATAAAATAAGCCTCCTAGGGGTTACAGGGGTACGGCTCAGTGGAAAATTCACATAGGTGAATCCTCATGTATGTTTTTTATATATGAGTTGTTACTGGTTTATTCAGTTAAGTTTCTCTTATACATAGTATAAAAGTCAAGTGCATTACTAAGCTGAATTTTGTTTTTGGCTTTTCATGAGTGTGGCCCCACTTCACCTTCAGTGTGAACACAACCTCATTTCTCTGGGTCTTTTCCTTTCCTCCAAGCCTGAGTCCAGCAGCCTTTCCTGGTTCTCTCGAAGTTGGGCCCAAGCCTCTCCCTTTTCCCCAGGGAGCAGTGCCTTTTGCCCTTGACACCAGAACCCCGCAGGAGTACATCACAGCTGGGCTGCGCTGAGCCCAGATCTCCATATGCCTGCACATTCTCGAGCATAGTCAAGAACTCATATCCCTGCTGGGCTGGGGGCAGTTTGCCCAGTTGAACAGCAGTCCTGTAACCTTAGCCTTTTCCTTTCACTTCCTTGGCCTTCTGAAAACTAACTTCTCCTGAGGCTTCTTTGTCTCTCCCAGGAGTAGAAGGGTGAGATCATGGTCTGTCTTTTCTTCCATGCAAAATCCAGGCATCATCCACCACCTACTCTGTGGAAATCTCTCTCCCTGGCCTGTGCCTGCCACTTTTTCCCTCCTTGCTGCCACTGAGCCTTGTGATCTCCCCTTACTTGCCCTTTTACTTTCCATGACTTTGTTTTCCCCTAGTCCTTTTTCTTTATGCCAAATTAACTATCAGCCTGTTGTCCCCTACTACCATCTTCCTCAGGTGGCTCTGTGACCCTTGTTAGTATGCAGATCTCTGTCTCATAACCACCATCCTGATCTTTCACTCTTAATCACTTCCAGGTCACGTGTCCTATATTTTCTTATTTTTAGACAGTTGTGTTGGGGTTAAAATGAATATACAGCAAATTGAATATATTGAAAATGCCATTCTGAAAAGTTTTGACATAGGTATATATACATAATATCACTACTACTATTGAGATAATGAGCACAGGTACCAGCCCCCAAAGTTTCCCATGCCCTAGCAATCCCTGTCTCTACCTCCCCCGTCACTGCCCATTCCCTAGGCAACTCTTGGTCTGCTGTTTGTCATTACAGACTAGCTTGCGGTTTTCACAGTCTCACATAATTGGAGTCATGTGGTATATGCATTTGTTTGTTTTGCATCTTTCACTTGGTGTAATTATTTTGAGATTAATTTGTTGTATGTATTAATAGTTCATTCCTTTGTAAATTTGTGAACAGTATATTCCATTGTATGGTTTTGCTGTAATTTGTTCATTCATCTGCTCACTGATAGGCATTTGAGTTTTTTTTAGTATTTGGCTATTACAAATAAAGCTACTATAAATATTTGTGAACAAGTCTTTGTGCGAACATATGCTTTCTCTTGGAGGTTGAATGGCTGATTCATATAAAGGTGATGTTGAATCACTCAGTGGTTTCCAGAGTCATTGTACCATGTACATTCCCATCAGCTATATCCTGATTCTAGTTAACAACATTTATTTTCAGTTTTTTAAAAAAAAAATTTCAGTGGCAGTAATATCTCATTAACTAATGATCTTAAGCATCTTTTCATGTGCTTGACATCTGTGCGTCTTTGGTGCCATATGTGTTCAGATCTACTGCACATTTATTTATTGTTTTGGTACTGGGGATCTAACCTGGGACCTTGCACTTGTGAGGCAGGAAGCAGTACCACTGAGCTAAATCCCCAGCCCTCTACTGTACATTTAAACATTGGGTTATTTTCTTAATACTGAATTTTGGGAGGTTTTTTTATTTTTTTATTTTTATTTTTGCATATTCTGTGTACAAGTTCTTTATTTTATATTTCCCTTGGAAATATTTTTTCCCTGTTTAACTTTTGCAGTCCCTTAATAGTGTCATTTGAAGACTAAAGCTTTTGATTTTGAAGAAATCCAATTTATCTTTATTTTCTTTTGTGAACTGTATTTAAACTGATCATAGAGATGTCCTATATTTTCTTCTAGCAGTTCTATAATCATGTTTCATGTCTTAGTCCTTGATTTGTTTTTAGCTAAGTTTTGATTAATTTTAAATTCCTTCAGCAGACTGCTGTTCCATTGTGCACAGTGTGGATCTTGAGTGCCAGGAAGTCCTGAGCTCTTGCTTCACTGGCCTCTTCCTGCTGGCATTGTGCAGCAGTGTGCAGAGGGGGCTCACCACCTTCCTGACATCTGCCTAATGGGGTATTGCTTGGCTTATTGTTTCATCAGAGGCATGTTATATAGAGGGAGTTATAAGAGATAAAACTAAAATAAAATATTTTGTATTGTTAAAGTTAGATTAACAGTACCTATATGAACTTCCTACCTTAAAAGTATCAGTAAAAGATCTTTAAAAGATTTTTACTTGGTCAAAGAAATATTGTGAATAATGGCTGTTCTCTCAACTAAAAATGAGAAGCAAAGAAGCAGATTTTGAATATTATTGAAGAATTATTTCCACTAAAGCCAGAAAGTTAAAATTTAACACATTCTTCATTATAAATAAAATATTTAAGCTAATGTTAAATTTAAGTTTTAGTGTACCTTAGAATTAATTTTTAAATATATTTTCAACTATTTCAGTGTTCTGGAAACATTAACCATTAAATATACATAAAAATATGTATATGGAAGTACATGTTTTTTCTCTTACCTCAGGCCTTCTGTGTGTCTCAGCACTAATACTTAAAATTTTTGTATTCATTATGGACTTTTTGTATTGATTATAAATTGAATTAAAACATTTTTTCTGTCATTGAGTTTTTTGGTGCAAAGCCTTAAATTTATGCAAAGCCTTCATTTTCATCTCAGTCCTAGAGTGCTTGCTGCCTCTGAAAGTAGCCAGACTTAAATCCAAAGGATATTTATGTTGAAAATACAGTACAAGTTTGACAATAGGAATTAAAAGTTTATAGACTTAAGTCCATGTAAATGCATTTTATTTACTTATCCATTCACGTTCACTTTCAGCAATCAAAGAGCTACTGATCATTGAGGTACATGAAAGACAAATTCGTAGGCCCAGTGTAGGTGGGATGGTAGCCTACAGCTCTTAGGCTGGTCCCCTCAGACTGCCAGGCTTTGCTCAGGGTGTCTACACACTTGTCAGATACAAAGCTGATAGCCCCAGGGACAGGCCTTGCACCAGTCACCAGGAGACACTGGCTCCATTTCAGGGAGCATCTCTTTCAAATACATCAGTGGAGTAAATGTGATTGGCTATGTGATTGCAATTGCTATCTGATCGATGTAAAAAATTTTCATCAGGGTAATTTTTCTCTTCAGATACATGACTTGGTTGAGAGAAAATTACCTCTCTTATGCCTTCCCGTATGTTTCTGTTCTAAAAGGTACCTGGCTAGGGTGTGGCTCAGGGATAGAGCACTCACCTGGCCTGTGGGAGGCCCTGGTTTCATACCCAATTGCTTCCTTGTTGCTGTTAGATCCCATTCGAGCTGCTCATGTGATGATAAAGTGGTTGCCATGCCATCTTCATGCTGAGGGAGTGAACGCATGTACAGAATACTCAGCCCTGTGTTTTCACCTGCTTAGAGAGACTTCATCACTGCAAGTAGCTGATCATCAGAGTTTTGCAGGGTCCTTGTAGTTCTGAGTTAATCTTAATTGGGCCTGTTCCACAGCACCAGCATTCTGTGCTAGAGGATTTACAGAAAGCCCAAGCCTTGGAAATGTGCTCGTTGTTGCCATGAACAAAACACGCCATGCTGAGTATTTATAAAATGTTCTTGTAAAAATGTTTTGTGAACATGTGAACATCAATTTTATGTTGTTTTTACCTTTAAACATTTCTAAAATCATGCATATTATATATGAAAAGAGGTATTTGTACATAATACACTGGACATTTGGGTTGCTCCAATATCAGTCATTTTGACTCTTAAAAGGAATTTGAACAGCAACGTAGTTGAAGAAATGCTTTTGTCTTAAAAACATCTTTCCTTGTATGACATTACTTTTCTTGTTTCTGAAGGGCAACCTTTATTTTTAATACCTTTTGTCAAAGTACAGTTTTCTTTCTAGACCTGATCTTTTAAAAATAGTTCTAAGATATTCGTATACTCCGTCTAATTCATCGTTTTAAATTTTCAGGCTCAACTTTAAAGAAGCTTCTACACACTGGAAATTCTATAAAGGTATTTATTTTAAATTAAAATGTAATGACATTTTTCATCACTTCTAAATTTATTAATGCCACAAAGTAACAAAGTTAGGCCATTTTGGGAAAAAGGAGATCTTCTGTTTTATTCTTTAAATTATTTATAGTAGGCTTCACATTAGAACAACCATGCAATATTTAACTTTCTGTGTCTCATTTGTCTCACTTAGCATTATGGTCTCAGGATTCATCCATCCCCTAACCAAAACAAAAAACAAAAAAACAAGAAGGCTGGCTGAAATGGAGTAGACTTTGGAGATGGGCAGGGCATCAGGGGAAGTTAGGAGAGGAAGAGGGAGAGTAGAAGCCATCAGAGTGCATTGTTTATGTACCAGTTCCCCAGGATGAATGAAATTGTGATGTATTGCAAGCAAATGCAGTGAGCCCTTGACTTAGGAACCAAATTCATTCACAGGGGTAGGTTGTAACTCAAGTTGGTCAATAAAGGATCAGGCTCCTTTTCACAGCCTTCAAAGTCTCTCTCCTGTATACAGGCGATTTCAGTATCTTTAGAGAGACATTAGCCCATGATTTCTCAGTTAACCCCACACAAGAAAGGACATTTTAATATTCTTTCCAGAAATTTTTAAGGGTTAAACCTATATCTGAGACCATCTGGAAGCACAAGCAGCAGGCATTTAGGTTGTAACTCAAGACTTTGTTCATATATTAAAAGTAAAATTCCGGTTATAACCCAAGTTGTTCATATGTCAAGCAATTTGTGGTTTTCTTTTGGTTTCTTGAGAAAGGGCCTCACTATGTAGTTGACACTGACCTGGAACTCACTATGTAGCCCAGGCTGGTCTCAACTCACAGCGATCCTTCTGCCTCAGCCTCCTGAGTACTGGAATTACAGGTGTGCGCCACCACGCCTGGCTTGTCAAGCCATTTGTAACTTGAGGGTCCACTGTACTTTAAAGCCACTTGACTTAGTTTTAACTTTTGAGAAATTTTGTGACACTATTAGACAGGCTTTTGGTCTTACATGGTGAGTTACTGAAAGGCATAAGTAGTAGGAGAAAGTAGCTTGGGCTGTGGCGCTTGATGCTGAGTTCTCACTGTGTTCCTTCAGAGGGTAGCTGAGGACCCAGGCCAGGCAATGGTCTGTTAAGTTTATCATCTGAAAAGGAGTGTGGCAGTCCATGTGTCATGTCAGTGCTCTATGACACACCAGATATCAGCTCTGAGAAGCTGGTTCTCCCCACACAGCGGTCTGGTGGTCATAATTATAGTTGTGTCTGAATTCATTTTGCTAATTTTGAGGATCATTGTGGAGGGAAAGAGCAACAGAACCTCAATCTTGAGCATTTATTCACTTGTGGTAGATTTATAATGGAATTAGGTTAAAATTGGCTTGTTTGGAAACAAGAATACTTTGACTCCTTTTTTTTTTTTTGTACCAGGGATTGAACTCAGGTCTTTGCAGGCCCTTGCACTTGGGAGGCAAGTGGTGGAACCACTGAGCTAAATCCCTGGCCCAACAAGAATACTTTGTATAATGTATGTAACCTGAGCTGGGATAAGATGATCCCAAAACATGACCCGCAGCTTGAAGCCCTCCTGTGATGAATATCTCATGGGAGACCATTCATTATAGCTAATTTAGTTGTATGTGTGCCTTTAATAAGCTAATGAATTTTTGTTTTATACCGCTTTAAACAGTGCTAGCCACTTAAAATTTGGTATGTTAGGGCCAGGGCTATGGTATGTTGTAGCTCAGTGGCGCCGCACCTGCCTGGCAAATACAAGGTCCTGAGTTCGATCCCTGGTACCACACACACACACACACACACACACACACACAAAAAAAAAATTGGTATGTTAACTGCTTCTTACATGTTGAGTAAAAGAAACACGCTATTCCTTACTTCTGTAGCCACTGTAAATTCCATGTTTTACCCTCTTTTTTAAAAGGAATAATCTTATAGTTAAGCTATTAGAACTGTAATCCCAGTATTCAGGAGGCTGAGGCAGGAAGATTGCCTCAAACTTGAGGCCACCCTGGGCTATATAATGAGTTCAAGGCCAGGATGAGGTACATAAAGAGACCCTGTCTCAAAACACCAGCTACAACAATACCATTAGGTTGTTATCTCATATTTATTGTTAGCCTTATTTCTATCTAGTTATCTTAAATCTAGTTAACATAAACAGTTGAAAACTTGTGATAGAATTCAGTAGATAATTTGCTCTTGTGAAGTCCTGTTTGATTATATACAGGGACAGAGAGTAGCATCACTTTTGTCTGATGGCTGAGTTATGTTAGGTACTCAGCATTACCACTCATTTTCCTGCTAGAGGAGAGGAGGACAGGGTGGTGCACATGGGGGTTTGTGCCGAGCATTGATGAGGTCCAGGGCCATATCTGGGAGTGTGCTGTGTACCTACTCAGTTAATGGAGTAGCAGCACTGTAGCCAGCTGGGGTGTCAAAGCCTTTCCATACATGAGTGTACACATACGTGTGTGTGTATGTGTGTGTGTGTGTGTGCGCGTGTGCGTACCTCCTGTTCTCTGCCGCTGGGTCTGGCTCACAGCCCTAACTGCAGAGGAACCACTGCCACCTTGAGTTAACTGAGGCAATCAGCAGCCACTATAGTCATCTGGATTTGGAGCTCGTCACATCTTACACATTCTCATGTGCTTATGTAGCTTCTCTTTGAATATCATCTTTTCAACATTTAGAAATACAGAAAAGGAGAGATGAGTGCTTTGGATTCTAGCCATAGATTGAAGTTGGAAGTAAGGACAGAAGAAGGAAAGGGGCACATCTATCTTTGTTGATGTTTTTTCCTAGGCGATGCTGACAGTGTAGAGCAGGTGCAAGTATAGACTGAGGATATTGAGCCGGGTCTATAGCAGCATGTTAGAGACGTGACCAAGATTCTGTCAGAAGTGCAGTGTAAATTTGCAGGGAGATTATCTTTGCTGTTTTCATGGTTAGTTGAGCAACGAGTGTTAAAGAATGAAGTACTATTAATAGCAAATATGCAGTACACAACAGGAGCCAGACAGTGCTTTGTGTGCCTTATTTGTGCTAACTCATTCAGTCCTTGAAATGGTCCTTTGTGGTAGAAACTACTGTCCCTATTTTATAGAAGGAGAGACTAAAGCCTGGAGTGGATAAGTGGTTCCCTGTGGGTCATAGCTAGAAAGTGGCAGAGACTTGAAGCCACACCCTCTGGCTCCAGAATGCAGGCTGTTAATCTTTGTGCTGTTGTGTAGCACCTGGCTGTTTGTCACTGAGGGATGAACTTGGTGTGGAACTCCAGTGTCTTTGACCTCTAGCTTTGCTGTTTTTCTTACAGTTCAGGCTAGACTTGAACTCACCATGTAGCTCACGCTGGCCTTGGACTTGTGGTGATCCCCTTGCTTCAGCCTCTCAAGCATTGGCCCATACCCAAGCTAGCTTTGGTCTCCCCACCGCCTTTTTTTTTTTTCATTTTTTTCATTTGGTACTAGGGATTGAACTCAGGACCTTGTGCTTCCAAGGCAGGCTGTGGAACCACTGAGCTAAATCCCTGGCCCTAGCTTTGGTTTCTTAAGACTGAGGTATATTGCAGTGCATTTCTACAAATACATTTTCATTTTGTTTTTAGATAAGATGTGAAGGAGTCAGACTGTTTCTTTTGTGGCTTCAAGCACTTCAGACAAACTGTGCAGAAGAGCAGGTGCTGATTTTCGCTTGCCTCGTGCCTGGTTTCCCAGCAGTCTTGTCCTCCAGGGGGCCCTGCACACTGGAGACCCTCATCAATCCCAGCCCTAGTGTAGCTGATGGTAAGCAGCACGTGCAGGTCTCATGTGGCAACCACTCTTGAACTTATATTGAGGCATTGCTTGGATTTTCATTTTTTAAAATAGAAATCCTGATAAGGCCTGAAGAGGAATTATTCCCTTAACTCACAGTATATTCTTATAAACCTTGGGCTCAGCAGACTTGGAGAGTATTTTATATGAAATGGAGGAATTTATTGAAGTGGTGTAAATGGGAATGGCACGGAGGGACAGATGTTGGGAGTGCCAGGAAGTGGACACATCATGTGTCTGAGTGCTTTTGTGTCTTCCACTGAGATTTCAACCCGTCATCGGTGCTGCTGCTGCTGTTCTCAGCACTGTGGCCCCTTCCAGAAGTGGGCATTCATCTTCATTTGCCAGCTTTGCATTCCATGCAGCATTTGTAGCAGGACAGCAGAGGCCTCATCAGGCCATTCATGTCCCCGACTCTTCATGGACTCTCCTGTAGGGCCGTGGTTTGTTGCTGCACATTACATTATTGCCTGCAGCTGGCATTTGGTCTTGACTGGCAGAAGAAGAATTTGAAAGGGAAGGTGCGGCCAGTGGGAGGGGGTGCTCCCTAGCCTGCTACTCCAGGCCCTTCATGCACAGTGCCAGCGTGGAGTTAGTGTGAGATGTCTCCTGGGTGACACCTGTGTCTTCATAGTGACCATTTTTTAAAAACCCTAAGTAAATGCTATTTAAATTGAACTTCATTGAAGAACTCTCCTTATTTTCAACCTGCAGCAAAGATATATCCAGAAGAAATCACTCCACTACTTCCAGCTGTATCAGGGGAGAAGACTGCAGAGGACCAAACCTGCTTTTTCCTTCAGATACTGTTGAAGTATATGGTAATTCAGGTCAGAGAAAAACTGTTAGCTATTTCAGTGAAGGGCTAGTTCCCAGGAGAAAAGAGAAAATATCACCTCCTTTCTTCTGTGTCTCTGTATTTTTTCTTTGATGTGATTGCAGGTGATGTTCACAGACTCAGAGTGGGTACCATTGTTAGATCAGCACATGTACTGTTTTACAACAGTGTGCCTGAACTACCTCTCCTTCTTTATCCTTTCCTGACCACTTGTGTCCACACCAGTGCGACAGGGTGAGATAAGGTGGCCCCCTCTCCCTAGGGCTGAGTAGTGGGCTAGGAGCTAGCAGGTGGATCTCTGCCCCTGAGCACAGTGCTTTTCTGGGTTCACCAGTGGCAGACATAACTGAAACCATTGACTGATAATGTTATTAGGTGATTTTTGTCACTTGGTCTGAACTTGTAAATGTTAGCAAGGTTAGAGTAAACTCTACTGATTCCTCTCTCTTGGGGACACTTATCTTACCCTTGCATCCTTCCTGGGTGGGTCTTGTCCCTGTCCTTTTTTTCCTAGCTGGGGTGTTAAAGCCATCTCCTCTTTTCCACACCTGCTTCCTTGCCCAGTGTTCCTTGACACCTACTGTCCCCTGCTTTCTGTCCTGTCACAGCTACAACAATGGGCTCCGGGTCATGGTGGGTCTGGGGATCCATCTGGAGGGAGGGCACACTTCAGGTTTTGTTGTACTTGTTCTTTGAGGTGATTTGACCTGACTACTCCTCCGTGAGATTTTCCCTTCGTGATTCCTGCCCCATTCCATTCCACTCCATTCTAGTTTTCTACTTTTCTTTGGGGATCTGTGCTTTTCTCTGCTGTTTCCCAAGATTTAGTACTTGGCTACTTTCTGACTATGTGGTTTTGTTGGGATATCTATCCTTCCTTATTTCCTTTAGCCAGCACCATGAACACAAGGATTTCACAATCCTGAGAGTGTGATGAAGGAATTCTGCCTCTTCCTGTAGTCTGCACTCCTGTTCTCCATCCGTTCCAGTACCACCTGCTCAGAAGTTATTGGGCATTTCATTTGCCCCAGAAATCAGCACAGAACTTGGGTTGATGGGTTCTCATTCTGAGTGTGGCACTCATAAGTTATAGGACCTTACATAAGTCACATGAGCCCCCCTAAGTCTCCTGTCTAGTGAGATGGCATTGACGTAGGGAAGGGGTTTGTACACAGACTGTGAACTTCCTCCTGTATCAGTCAGCTTTCCCATTGCTGGATTCAATACCTGATACCCTCAATTTAAACACACTTGTGGTTCAGGAGATCCAGTCCATGGATAGCAACATCATCATGGAAGAAAGCTGCTCATCCTTTGGCAGCCAGGAAGTAGAGGAGGAGCTAGGGAGGGAGATGCACCCTCCAAAGGCACATTCCAGTGATACACTTCTGGCCAGGCCCTGCCTCCTAGTAGCACATTTAGCTATGCCCTTGTCAATGGATCAGTAAGTGCACCAATGAACACAGTGCTCCCATGATTCAGAACTCTTACAAAAGCCCCATCCCTGAATGTAGGAGACTTCTGGGGGACATTCTAGGCCTAAGCCATTATCCATACCCTCCCAACTCCCAGAACCCTCCCCTCACCTTGTTGTGTGCAGTGAGTTCTGTGCATGTCTATACCTCTCTGCTGCCTTCCCTCCTGTCTGCTGTGAGTCATCAGAGCAGAGCCTCTGACAGGTCATGGGTGCTGAGAGCCTCTGCCCTGGGGTGGCCAAAGCATTCATCACTTGAGCTCAGGTGCTGTCATTTTCTGTGTGGCCTTGTCATGAAGCAGGCAAGAAGCTCTGCTTTGGTCTGACAAGTGTTTAGAACCACTGATAGGTCCTCTTTAGGCCCCTGGACCAGCTTTCCCTTGGTAATATGGGGATGACTATGCCTCTGTTTCAGGCTGTCATTGGGCTCTGGGGATACCGCCAGCTGTTGAGCTGCTTTTGGGTGCTTCCACTTTGTGGGGTTTTGAGGGACAGAATATTATTTCAGCACTGTGAAAGCTTTAAATTTAACCTGTAGCTGGACTGACAGGGTGGGTTTACCTGAGCCTTTGAGTTGCTCTTAATATGAGTGTGCTTGCATGATTCTATAACTTTTTCCTTTTAATGTTGATTGTGTATTTAGATAACATTAGATGAAATCACAGAGAGAACTTTTTTCTTTCACTCCTTTATTTATAAATGGCCATTTTGAACTGGGAGAAAAAAGTACCTGATTTTTTCTGATTAAATTTTTTTAGGACACAAGGAATGTTTAATCATTACAAAAAACACATGGAAAAATATGGGCGTTATGTAGTAGAGCAAGTTTGAAAATACATGATACCATATTTCTTTTGGAAAATACATTCCTGTCATCTTTTGAGCTTTGTTAAAATATGATTTTATTACATGATTGTCAGTATTCATTGTCATTTTTTTAAAGTTTAGGATAGAAATTTTAATAACAGCATTTCATTTTCATATATGTTAATTTGAAGTATAAATATACATATGTTCTTTTCCACATATTACCCAAAGGCTGCAAGCTTGGAGTGGAAGAATAAAGAAAATCAAGATACTGGTTTTAAATTTCTTTTCACATTGTTTCGAAAGTATTATCTTCCTCATTTATTTCCATCATTTACTAAGTTAACAAACATCTACAAACCTGTACTTGGTAAGTACTGTCTGAGCTGTGTGTAGGCGACATCCACAGGAAAACTTCACAGTCTCTTTCATAGTGACCCCTTTGATTATTTTAATGTAAAATAGTCACTTTGTTCTTGTGTTGGTGGTGGCTGTGATGTGAGAGATTTAATATTCCCCAATAAATGATTTTAATTAGGTGTGTTCACCAAGATAAACCACCTCTCAGCGGTAAATCCATGGCTTCTGTACTCAGAAATCATTAAATATGTATCATATTTTTAGTATATTATATTTACATATACAAAAGGAATTTCTAACTTAGCTCCTCAAGTTTTCTCTCTGTAAGAAATGATGACTCACTGGGTATGATGACACATGTCTGTAGTCCTAGCACTCAGGAGGCAGATGCAGGATTGCCACAAATTCAAGGGCAGTCTGGCTACATTGTAAGTCCAAGCTAGCCTGAACCACCTAGCAAGATCCTGTCCCCAAACTCAAACCAAACCAAAACAAGAAATGAGGATTTGCACAACAGAAGTATCCCTTAGAGTGGCGAAAGTAGGGTGGGAGCCCAATCTTCTCCCTGTTACTTAAAACAGATAAAATTAGTTCAAAGGAAAAATTAAGAGCAGTTTTGGAGAGGAATAGTAAAGGGTCAAAGGCACACACACATGCACATACATGTGGACACAGAGAAGCCAGGGAGAGTAGCTGATACCTGGTACATTTTAGAAGATGTAGAAGTACTGACTTTTAAGGGTGCTAGAATGTGTATTTTTAAGCTGACTGTGTGGGTATTTTTTCAATTTTTTCTGATTTTGTAGGTAGTGTATTCATTTAAAAAACATGGTACATTGTTATATTAATAGGTTAGAAGTCATTTATTGAGAACTTTTCTTTGTAATACAGATACTCTAGGTATACAAAAATTAATTGAGATAGAGAGTTGGAATGTATGGCAAGTTGCATCTCAAACCCAGTGCCATTCAGTTTTTAAATTGATGGTGGAATTTAAGGAATAAGAAATAGACCTCCTTGCTAATTCTTTGGTAAGGTGGCACCTGATATCTAAAAGATGAAACATAGCTTCTGAATTCTAGAGAAAAAGATTATATTGATTGTGTTTCCTTGGACTCATCTAAATGGAAAAAGTATATAAAACTAATGTTCAGTGGGTTTAATCATTGCAGAGTTAGATATTTTAATACTGAAAATGATTTTAAAATTTCATATATACTTTCACATTTGCCCAGTCATAAAATAAAGGTTAAGTTAGGTATAGTGTATATGAAGAGATCTTTACTAGTATAGTTTCATGTAATTTTTCAAATTGTTGAAAACAGCTTCTGGCCTAATTTTCCCATAGCTACATGTAAGCAGCAGCAGCCTCTTCTTTTTGGTTAGATTACAAGGCCAGCCAGAAATAAGCTGCCAAAAATGCTGTTTTTAATAATTTCTGGGTCTTCATTCTTAGTTTGCTATTCAACGATCAGTATATGTTTATTTCAGTAGAAACTGAAACATTTGCTGGGGCTACATAGCACTGTGTTCAGATTTAGTAACCTAATCACTCCTTTGTTCTTGTTTTTTTCCAGACATCCCCCATTGGAGACCAAAGCCCCTGTACATTACTACAACTCGAGACAGTGAGAACATTTACAGCACAAAAATTCCATACATGGCAGCTCGTGTTGTTTTTATTAAGTGGATTGTAACTTTCTTTTTGGAAAAAAAATATCTAACTGCAACACAAAGCACTAAAAATGGAGTTGATGTGTTGCCTAAAATTATTCAGGTATGCGGTTCTTCCCTTTTGTAAATCCTGGAACACTTTTGCAACAATATACTAATACTACCCGAGGCAGTCACTTCTCAGTTACTGTTGACAGGCAGTGCCACTAGGGAGTGGCATCACTGTCCTGCCCTGTCTGTGACACTGACTTCAGAGAGAGTGTGAGGCAGCTGGCATTATCACGACCTGGTGGCCTTGGCGAGGGCCACTATGAGAGGTGGCTGTGTGCACAGCCTCCTCTTGCCCTCCTTCTCAGTCCTCTATTCAAGTACCAGTGACCTCTGAAGACAGGGCCTGGCTTCTTGCCTTTGCCTGTCAGCAACACTTGGAGGCCCTCAGGAAATTGCAGGTGGTCCCAGGGGACTTTTGCTGTCCAGTGCCCTCTGGCATCTGGGGAAGGAATGGGTCAGCAGCTCAGGACTCGGGAACATTGTGACAGAGTCCCTAGAAGGGAAGCAAGCCCTTCAGAAAGAGCTCTTCTTGTGTAGGGCCCAAGGAAGTCAACTAGAAAATGAAAACAAAAGTTTGAGACAGCAAACTATTGATTTGTATGATAGCTCTTTAGTGAAATTAGAAAATAACGTTTTGACCATTTCTGAGCTGGCCCTTCCTCATAACAAAGCCTCATGGCTTTGGCTTCCTGAGATTATACTTGATGAGCTGAACATTTAGGAAGGTGAATCACACAAACTGACTACTCTCCAGGACTTTGTGTATTTGTTTGTGGACTCAGCATCTATTTTGTTCTTAAGGTCTACAAAGTCAGAGACGGACTGCCCCAGCCATGTAGGTATAACAGGATAGAGGGATTGAGTGGCATCAGCCTTGCTGGGCCCTCTTGTGAACTTTGCTTTGTAGGTGGTGTTATTTAGCTTGAGCTCAAGTGAAGAATTCGAGTGAGCTATGAGACTCCAGAGGACACTGTGGGAGAAGGGAGGGCTGAGTGGAAGGAGTGGGTGACAGCCTACAGCATGCAGTTTCCTGAATGCTGGTAGTGCTGGCCTGGTCCAAATCTATATGTTTATTTCACCAATTAAGTCTTCTTCACATGCCAAAGTGTAAATGTCATCTTTGCCTTAACCATGAGAATCAACTAACTCAAAGTAACGGTTGAGAATCCAGCCTGATTCTAGCGGGTAGAATTTCTGGGGCTAGTTCTTTCATGTTCTTCGTGTTAATCTTTTTAAAGAAGGCAAAAAATAAATAGACGTGTGATAGTTAATCTTGTTTGAGAGATGCTTAGATTAGTAAAACACACTTTTGGGTGTCTTTAAGTGGGCCATGGGATGTGACTTTGGGAACTTTCTCTGGTCCTTGGCCTTCCTCTCTGGCTTCTTCCTATGCTTTGCCTCCTGGATGCCGTGAGGTGAGCAGCCTTCCTCCACAGACACTTCCATTATGATGTTTCTGCCATGGAGCCACTTTACCATGGACTGAAACCTCTGAAGCCATAAGCCAAAGTAAACCTCTCCTCCTTTAAGTTGCAGGTATCAAATACTGTGTCGCAGCAATAGCAAGCTGATTGACATAACTTGCATATTCAGCCTCATCCCTTACTGTAATTATGAATGTTTCTCAAACCATATAGATACTTTCGGAAAGTAGCTTTTTATATATGAAGGGAAGTGTGGACTAGACAAGGCCAAGAAACACATCATTTTATTAAGAAAAATTTTTATTTTATGACATGATGGGAAATCCCTCTATGTTACCATTATGTTTTATTTAGTGAGCTTAGTTTTTTGGGTTTTTTTTTCTTCTTCTTCTTCTAATTTTGAGACAGTCTCTTATGTAGTTCAGGCTGGCTTCAACTCACTATGTAGCCCAAGCTGTCTTTGAACTTGGAGAATCCTCATGCCCCAGCCTTCTGAGTACTAGGATTTTGTTTTGTTTTGTTTTGGCACCAGGCATCGAACTCGGGCCCTTGAGCTTACAAGGCAGGTGGCGGAACCACTGAGCCAAATCTCTAGCCCCTGAGTGCTGGGATTATAGACATGCACCACTATGCTCCACTATTAAGCTTAGTTTCAAGTGATTCGACATGGTATCTTTAAACATAATTCTTTACTGTATGCTATTTTAGTATATTGCTGTACTACAAATCATCTTAAAACTATTGGCTTAGTGTATCAACCTTTTATCCTGTTATTAACTTTCAGTTTTTGGGTCAGACATAGGGGTAGGATTTGGCTTTTCTTATGTGTGGGACATGTGGCATTGTCTGGGGTTACAGGGTGGTGATCTTCAGCTGGCAGCCTTTGGTCTGGAAGATCAAAGATGGCTTCATTCTCACATCTCTTCCTTCGTGCTGACCACCGGGAAGGAGTCTGGGCCCAGCCAAGGCTCTTTTCCAGGCCATTTTTTCTTGTGGAGTGCATATTTCTCACATGGCTACTGTGGGACCTAGGATGGCAAGTGCTGACCATTAGCCTCTTGGGCATGGGCTTGACTCCAGCACAGTACACAGCAGAGGGAGGGGACAATAGAGCACAGGTGACAGTAGTGCAAGTGCATCTGCTCATGAAGCCAGTGTGCATTCCATACCTTGTTTCAGAAAGAAGACTAAGAATTGGTGCTGCCTTTAATTTGCTACACAAGTGCGTGCTGTTTTCTTTCAAGCCTGTGGAGAAAACGGGAGCTACCAGCCCAGATATCACAGGTTATTGAGCCACAAGTGACATTTAAGTGTAATCCAACCTCCATGCTCTCTAGATTAAAAATTAAATTAAAGAAAAATACGTGAAGCCGGGCATGGTGGCGCACGCCTGTAATCCCAGCACTTGAGAGGCTGAGGCAGGAGGATCGCTGTGAGTTCGAGACCAGCCTGGGCTACATAGTGAGTTCCAGATCAGTCTCAACTACATATTGAAACCCTGTCTCAAAAAACCAATAAATAAATAAACAAACAAACACATAAATAAATAAATTTTAAAATTATGCGAAATTAAAGTGACTTGCCTGAAAGGGTTAGAAGCAAGCCTTTTGATACCTGTCTGGGGCCTCCTTTTTGTACTGTATTCATCCCAACCTAGGGTCATTCTGGCAGAATCTCCAGATAAAGAAGGATAAAATGAGTACACTTTTATTTTCTGTGGAAGACAGTGCATCTGTCAAAGAGATGAAATGGATTCTATGGGGCAGCATGTCTCAGAGTGTGACAGTGCCTTTGATAAGCCACATAGGCTTAGTCGCTAAGGCAAGAATAAAAAAATTATGACAACTATAACCTTCTATTAATTTTCCCTGGAGGTTATGATGGAGGGATATCTTTTGTTTTCATAACATCTTGGAGATTACTAAAATTACTGTTTTGTACTGCTCATGTCTTATAAAAAATATTCCCAGTGGCTAAAATACACTGATATTTGGGTTATATATTTCTGACATTAAAAAAATAAAATGGATCTTAGAAAGAGGAAGCAGAGTTATACATACATACATTAATTTAAAGGATTCTGAATTGTGTAGAAAAATGAGAGCAGAAATCACTATTAAGCTTTGTGAGTCATTGCATGAATTACTTTATTTTTTACTGCCAATGCCTTCTAAATATTTAAAGTTCTGTGAATATTTTAGTTAAGTTTGACCTAAGTCTGAGGATAAAGCCAAGGTCCAGATTCTTCTAAAGTATCAGTAAAGAGCCTGGCTCTTCACATCAAGGTGCCATGTAGGCTTTGTATCTCTCGAGTCTTCCACATGTGTCCCTGACGCATTTTTATATCCCTGTGACAAGTAATTGTAGATGTGCAGAAATCTAACGTGATGGTAATGCATGTATATTTGCACATTAACTCATATTGAGATACCATGAATGCAAATTAAACTTTTGGGGTGATGAAATTTCACAGTCCCCTTCCCTAAAATGACTTTGTAGTTTTCCTATTAAAGTAACTAAGCCAGGAAAGGATTTGATGACCAGGTAGAAGCCTGGTGAGTACAGGCTCTGGTTGAGCTTGTAGAGATTGGTGTTGAACAGAATTCTTTAAAACAAGGCAGCACCTAGGGCTTGGGTGTAGCTCTGTGTTTAGCATATGTGAGACCCTGAGTTCAATCCCCAGCACAAAAGAGAAACTAACAAAAAAATACCCTACAAAACCCAAAGTTGAGGGAAGACCTAGGCTTATGGGGGCTCTTGAGCAGGAATGTGGGCACTAAGAAGTATGCTGCCCTCTCACAGACCGTTGGTGGTGGTGCAGCACCAGAGAGGGTACCGGAGCTGGATGGCAGTGGGCCCCTGGAGCAAGACAAGGGCCATTCTAACAGCAGCACTTTGTCTGAGCGAAGACTCAGTAGCTCCAGCCTCTGCAGCATCGAGGAAGAGCACCGGACAGTGTATGGAATGGTGCATCGGATCCTCCTGTCCACACGAGGTTACATCAATTTCGTGAATGAAGTATTTCGCCAGGTCAGTGTGTGTGTGTGTGTGTGTGTCCTCATGAGTACAACCATACACCTTATAAGTGAATGAAATTGAAGAGTTTTGTTCATGTTTATATTAGTGAGCTTTCCATTACTCTTAACAAATACCTGAGATCAGTTAATGTGAAGAGAAGCAAAATTGATTTGGATCTGTTATAGCTTGTGTCTAGATGTTCCCTCAAAATCTCATGCAGTCAGAGATGGGGCTTTTTCTGAGGTAGCTAGATTTAGAATGTATGACTCGGATTGATTCACGGTCAGTGCTAGGTTCAGGGCACTAGGATTAAGGGTGTGAGTGCTGTCTTCCCTAACTAGTCTGGATAAAAGGGACAGAAGACTCTGTTAAATCATTTGTTGATTCCCTTATTGCTCTGGCTGTCTTCTGCTGCCATGAACTGTTCCTCCTCTGCCATGTACCACCCTACCTTAGAGCCAGGTGATTATAAACTGCAGTGGGAAGCAGGCAGTGGTGGAGCATGTTAATGGAAGCAGTTCTGGTCCTGGGGCACTTTTGGAACAGGGTCTTTACACTGGAGGTTTTCAGACTGCCCAGGCTCCCATTTGTATAGATCATAAAGTATTCCTACTAAGTCCAAACAGGTCCTGATATTTAGATAATGAGGGAATAAAATAGGACATAGCAACAAAATATCTTTCATGTTGTAAGACTTTGTATTCCTTGTGAAATTTCTGGTTTATTTGTATAATACTCTCTACAGATGCATATATTCTCTGTCACATGCCTCACAATCTGAGCAGTTTGGAGCACTTTTTGAAACCATGTCTATTCTTTGTATTGTTTCGTTTATTGGTTGCTTTTATTTTAAAGAAAAGTTTATTAAAATATGTTCATTAGATATTGTGGAAGAGAAAGTAAAAACAAACTGCATAAAACATTGCCATCTTTGCATCCGCCACTGATGTTAGAGGAGCATCGTTCCAGGTATTTCTATGTGTGTATGCTGCCAGCTTGCCAGATATGTAGATGTTACACCTACATGGAAACAGACAGAAAGCAGCTGGCAGGCTACAGGGCAGTCTCAGATGAGCTGATAGGCGTAAAAGAACTGGATGTCAGGTGTAGAATGGGTGCGTAGGACACATAGATAGACCAGCTGGCAGAGACGGAAGTAAGCAGGTGGGATGATGGAGATAGAAATCAGCAAGAATAGGCAGGCAGGCAACCACAGGCAGAGACAGTGACATGAAGCCAGACGGGTCGACCCGGGTGGAGATAAGAGTAGATAAGAAAAAGTGCCAGAGGCTAGGAAAATAACTTCATGAAAGTAGCATCTTTAATTCCTAATGAATTCTTTAGTGTATCTTTAATACAACTTTAATAATAGTTCTGAATTTTGTTACTTGAACTTAGAAGAAAATAAAGCAGAATAAGAAATTGTTGAAATTCAAATAAATGTTCTTTTTATATAAGAAATATTAAAGATTTGTCTAATTTAAAAGATTATAATAGTATTAAGGTGTTTAAATCATTTTTAACTACATGTTATAATTTTAGGTGATATTGTTGATTTCCTGATGTGAAATATAAAAAGAAATTAGCAGTCTTATATTTTTTTCAGTTTCTTCTCTTCATTTGTTAATTTTATTTTAAACTTATAAGAATACCATCATTTGGAATTGATTTTGGAATGTTAAAGTCCAGAGTTGTTTGGTCTTGCTTCTGTGTTTCTCAGTCATTCTTCTTGGTTCTGCAGTCCTGACCACAGCTCTGGCTAGCTTTGTCTTTGAGTGTTTTCAGTAGAGCTCCCTGGAACTCCCTTGTTCAAGTTCTTTTAAGATGGTAAAAGTTCTTCCAGGAATGGTGGCGCATGCCTGTAATCCCAGCACTTGGGAGGCTAAGGCAGGATCACTGTGAGTTCGAGACCAGCCTGGGCTACATAGTGAGTTCCAGGTCAGTCTCAACTACATAGTGAGACCCTGTCTCAAAACCTACCCTCCCCCCAAAAAAGATGGTGAAAGTTTTTCTTTTGCCTTTGCACATGATTAGCTGGATATAACAATCTTGGGTTACTCATTTTGCAACCTTTCTATACATACAAGTTAGAGGCAGGAAAATCTCAAATGGTTTACAACATGTATTCCTAACCTAAAATCTAATATTTATTTCAGCTTACACACATTAGCTCCTTTACTCCTTTCCAGTTTTTATTATGTATTTGAATATACTGTCAGCATATATAATATGTATATATCATAGCTTTCATATAGCCATATATATGCTTAATTTAGTTTTTGAAAAATTCTGTTATGTCTATTTCTCCCTAAGTATATGACATATAATATTTTTCATTTTACTGGAAGGGTAGCTTTTAATATTGCCCCTAATTCAAGTCTCTTGGACACCGGTTCCTTCTGGAGACGTCTGCATTTCATTTTTGAAGTGTACCCTTTCTGAGTGTTGGGTTCTGCAGCAGCAGCTGTCTGTTCTCTGCACTTTGCTGATCTCAGTCCTGTGTTAACTGCTTCCTTGTGAGACACCATATTAAGTCGGGTGGTGCCTCCTTTGGAGGAAATGTGAGTTTCTTCTTCTGGCTGCTTTCCAGATTTTCTGATTATCTTTGATTCTCAAAGGTTTTACTGTAATGGACTTTGTATTTATCCTGCTTGTCTTTCTGAATGATTCTAAAATCTATAGATTTATATCTTTTATCAATTTTTCAAAATTCTCAGCTGTTTTTTTCTTCAATCATTGTTTCTGTCCCCCTATCTTTCCTTCTGCATCTCTAACCATGCATAGAATAATCTTTTCATTTTGTGTTTTTTTTTAATTATTTATTTACTCTGTTGTTCTCCCCACATACATACTTCCTGTGTGCTGGAGATGGAACCCAGGCCTCGTGCATGCTAGGCGGGTGCTCCTGAACTGAGCTGTATGCCCAGCCCATTCCCTTTTTCATTCTGCATATTTTCCTCTGATATTTCTTCTAGTTTTCTCTTAGCTATATCCATTCTGTCCAGCCCATATACATTGAGTTTTTAATTTGTATTTAAAAAAATGTTGGGCCAGGGATTTAGTTCAGTGGTTCCACTGCCTGCCTCACAAGCACAAGGACCCGAGTTCAATCCCTGGTACCAAAAAAAAAAAAAGTTAGGTACTTTAGTTTTTGATACTCCCATTACCTATATGGTATATGTGTTTATACCATTGTCTTTTTTTTTTTTTTTTAATCATGATTTTGGTCAAGCTGACTTCTCATATTTCTTATTTTTAAATTAATGTTATATGTCATATTAACAAGACTGTACAAGCAATTTTGGTATTGTTTTAATTATTTTATTTTTATTGTTCTATTTTTTGACAGGGTCTTGCTAAGTTGCCCATTTCCCCAAGCTGGGCTTGATTTTGACATCCTCCTGCCTTAGCCTCCCAGAGTGCTAGGATTATAGGCATACACTACCACAGCTGGCTATAATTTTGGTTTTACTATGAGAATATTAATATATCAATATACTGTAGTCTTCTCATAGCAGAGATTGCTCTTTCCTGGAATTTGGTCATATGGCCATCATAGCTGAAAATTTACATATGAACTGTACCTGTGTTAAAGTGTCATCTACCTATAACTGAACCCTCTGGTGTGAACCTTAAGACCAGTATTTTTTGTTTGTTTGATACCTGGGATTGAACTCAGGATCTAGAGCTTTTGAGGCAGGTGGCAAAACCCTTGAGCTAAATCCCTGGCCCAAGATCAGTATTTTTAAAGGTCTCAGAAACTTGGGACCAAGACCTGCATTTGTAGATAGCCAACTTTATGATCGTGGAAAATAGCTCCTGTGCTCTGAGGCTCAGTGTCCTTGTCTGTGGCATTCAAGGAGCCATCCATTGAGTGTGTAGTACTTGTCCTTCTTGTCCACCTTGCATACAGAAATTGTCCTTAAATCTGGAAAGCAAAAGGCAAATAAATGCATCCTCCCTTTAAGTTCTTGTTTATGTTTTTAGAATCTTATCATAATACATGAAAAAAGTCTGGTGTGCAAATATGTAGGGAGTTTTTTAATGATAAAAGATCCTATGAATACGCAGTGCTGCACATGGCCAGTGGCTCCAGTTAACATTGGTGCCTGTCATTAGTGGTATTCTGATGTATGTTGAAAGCTATCTCAAAAGAAGGGAAAGAAGAGAGGGAAGAAAGGAGGGAGGAAAGAATAAGTGAAGGAGGGAAGGAAAAGGAAAAAGAAAAACCTAGTAAAACCCTGACTTAGAACAGTTGCTCACTTCTCCCACCATGGCCATGAAAAGCCATGTGATATCACTGAACTGAGGCTGAGAAGAGCCGGCACAGCTGGGCCCTTGCAGGTAGCAGCTTGTCTATTATGTCAGAAACTGGTTTGGATTTCCTGGGGGAAGTGCCAGGTTGTGCAGTTGTAATTCTCTCATATAGACAGTTAAAATATATGTATAGATAATAGCTTGATTGTTTTTGGCGAAAAATTCAGAACATAAAAGTTATTTTTAAATAGCATCATGTTTTCTGGCCCAGTTAAGAAAACAGCTTTTTTCTTTGGGTATGTGGTATACACATAAACACATGGTCTTATATAGTGCTTTTGCAAGCCGCTTGTTTCAGAAGTTGGTGATTATTGGAGGTGGAGGTGTCAGCTCTGCAACCTGAGCATATTCGGGGTTAAAGGAGTTTCCTTTTCCTTTCAGGCATTTCTGTTGCCTTCCTGTGACATAGCTATAACTAGGAAAGTAGTTCAGGTGTATAGAAAATGGATCCTCCAGGAAAAGCCTGTGTTCATGGAGGAGCCGGATAAAAATGACATTGCCCAAGAGGATGCTGAAAAACTAGGTATTTCAGAGACTGATGCCAAGGAGGTAAGCCCCTCCCTTGCCCTTTGAGTTGAGTGTGTGTATTTTAGTGCAGTCTACTTGCTTGGTTTGAGGTCCCACTGGTCAGACACAGGCAGATGGAGTTTTGCTTACCTTTGTTGGGGCTCTGGAGTTGCTGACTTCAGTGGAGGCCCACTTCAGAGAGACATCATCTCCTAACCTTCAGGCAAGGGCTGTGTGTATGTGACAGCTTTGATAGTCACTGTCACAGACATGTTTCATAAACTACCATACTTACACATTAAAAGTCACAGCCTTCTCTTTGACTTGTTTTAAACAGGTAGCATTTGAAGAAACTAGGTTTTAGACTGTTTGAGTCTACTTTTCTTGTGCAGTAGACTGTGTCAGAATCAACTAGGTTTAAATATCTGGAAGGACTCAGGCTAGCAGCTCAGTCTCCACTGCATGGCGGAGGTGGTGGTGGGGGTGTGGGGGTGATGGTGGGGTGGTTGTCATCCATGGTAGGGGAGACTGGAAGTTGGGTAAATCTAAAACTATAGACTGAGTGGAACACCTTCCTGCAACACAAAAGAAGCAAGTATATTTATATTCCTGGTGTGCTGTCTTGAAATTTAAAATGTTTCCAAATCTTGACTGTATGCCTTAAGAGGCATATTACTTTTAAATGTCTGTTAATTCCATAATTTTGCCATTTCAATACTGGTGAAATTATTTTAAAAATTAGTCAAGAGATCAAAATGCACAATAGAGAAAACAGGCTCTGTGTGTGTCTGAGGCCTGTTCTGTGCTTCCCAGGTGCAAAGCACTCATGACCCAGTCTTGTAGCACATACCAGCTTCTGGTGCTGGTGGCAGAGGTGAGCAAGCAGAAGACATCTGTGCTCCTGGAGCCTCTTTCATGCATTCTGCTGAGCATCAGAAGCTCAGTGTGCGAATGCGGTCTTGCCATGCTGTTAACAGATTGTTGTTTTCCGAAGGCCTCCTCAGACGGTTCGGGTCATAAGCGATCTTCCAGCTGGGGACGCACATACTCCTTCACAAGCGCCATGAGCAGAGGGTGTGTGGCTGAAGAGGACAGCACCAGTGTGAAGGCTGGGGCCCAGGCTGTGCTGCAGGTGTGCTCACGGGTTAGGGGCCATCTTTTCAGTTTTTAGTCGGGGACAGCTCTTCTCAATCTGAGGTTTCTATCTAATTTTCCATCTGCAATTGGTGAGGATTATTTTTTTTGTTGAAGACATAACTGGTTGCAGGTTTTTTGAGAGGGATCATTAAACAGTGAATGTGAAACGTCTAAGATTTAAATCTCAAAAGTACCTTCTAAGCACATACAAGTAGATATTTGGATTCCAATTTGCAAGATAAACTTGGTGATTATATAACCTTATAAGTAAATATTCTTCTTTAAAATTGCCTGTTTCAAATGAATAATGACTAGTGTATGGTTTTGAGATAGTTATCTGAAATAATAGGTAAAATAGAATCTATGCCGTTGGGAGTATTGCAGAGAGCAACTTTGGCTCATGTCTTAATCTCTTTAGACGTCGGGCTTTAAGTTGAAACCTAGGGATGGGAGGGTTTTCTCTCTAGCCCCACCAGCTTGAAGCTTTGTTAGAAATGTCATTGAAAACCTGGGTGGCTCTTATTCCCTGCTCCCTGGCCTCCATCCCAGCCCACTTCTAAGTTTATAGCTGTATCCATGTAGGTATATTGCACATAGAAGCCAGGCGAGGATCTAGGGAAAGCTGGGCGTGGCACATGTGTCCCCCAGTTTTGAGTGATGCCAAGCTTCTGTCATCAGTCTTTCTATGCAATTCATTATCATAGTAGGTTTTCATTTTCAAGCCAATTAACATTTTATTAAACAATATGAATTTAAAAATTTGTCAAATAACTTGAAATTAACTTTTAAATCAAGATAGTTTTTCTTATGCAGCTTAAAGCTCCTTGGTGCCACTCCTAAGTAGGGCCTGTGTCCCCGTTACACACATGCTTGGAGGAGTCCCTACCCTTTTTTCTCTTTGTGACTCCATTATTCCAAGTGGATTAGCATCAGAAGATATCTCTATAGTTCTATGAAGCATTTAGTTTGGATTGAAACAGTTTTTTCCTTATTGTATCCAGTACCTTCATTCTTTCCTTGGTTTTTTAGGAAAAGGGGCCAGGTGGAGGTTTGATGAGAAAACACTCTTGTACTTGGATTTGATGAGTACAATTTGGGCAAATTAATTTTGCCTTAACTAACACCGATAAAGTAATAAATATTCATGCAGTTGGCATTTTGTTGTTTTATAAAAAGTAAAAGTATAATAAGTGACAACTCCTTACTTTTACTTGGGAAGTATCAATTTCAAGAAGCCAAATACAATGAATTAAAAGGATCTGTCCTCCTGTATATCATTTGTGATGTGCTCTTTTTAAAAAGATTGTCAGTGAAACTACACTACAGCTACTCTAATTTGTCAGTTAAAAAGTGTTTTATATTTTTTCCTACTCAAAAGATAGTAAGTTCTTTACTGTTAATGCTACCACCTGTTACCAACTGTTATAGTCATTATGTGCTTATCTCCCTGTCCCCAAAAATAGTTTTTGAGAGATTTTTTTGTTAGGTTTTTTTTTGAGTAAAGATCTCACTCTATAATTCATGCTGACCTTAAGCTCACTATGTAGTCCAGGCTGGCGTCAAACTTGGAGTGATCCTCCTGCCTCAGTCTCCCAAGTACTATAGTTACAGGCTTTCCTGGGAAATTGTGACATGGTATCTTTTTACTATTGCAGAATATAATCTCAAAGGTTATCACATTTTAGTTCATCTGCTTTCTTTTGAGTATGTTTATTTTACTCTCTGAGTTAGCCTTGGAGTTTTTTTGAGATTTGATCCATTAATGAGATAGAGATGCCATGTTTACTACCACATACTTTTTAAAAAATCTTTATTAAATTTATCAGTACATTTTAGGTATATAATACAGTTACATTCATCAGTGGGATCTTGTACCTTGGATGACATATCTTGGTTCTTATTTTTCCCCATTTCCCAGCCCTCTCTTCACACCCTCCACCCTTCCCTATTTACAGACATTGTTCTGTGTTTTTCCTTTTCACATATTTTTTCTTTTCCCTTTTTACCTTTCCCCTACCCCTCCCACTTCTTCTACTCTTTTAGGCCTTTTCATCCAATTACACAAAGTCAGTTATCCATTTTGATCCATATTTACACTTTTAGTTTTTCACACCAGAGAAACTACTCAGTATTTATGCATGTGTGATGTATTAATTTCACTTAATAGTATGGCCTCAATGTGCATCCACTTAGCTATAAATATCTATAGTTTCTCATTCTTTGTGGCCAAGTAGTACTCCGTTTTATAAAACTCTGTTTTATCTTCTTTAGCCAGTCTCCACTTGATGGACAATTGGGCTGTTTACAAATTTTAGCTGTTACAAACTATGCCACTATAAACATGGATGAGCATATATTTCTGGGGTTTGATTCTTTTAATTCTTTTGGGAGGAAGCAATACTTCCAAATTTATTTCTGAAATGAAGTATTACTTTGATTCTAAAACCAGGGAAAGACCCAACCAAAAAGAGAGAACTACAGGCCAATCTCCCTAACAAACATAGATGCAAAAACCCTCAATAAGATACTAGCAAACAGAATACAGAGGCTCATCAAGAAGTTCTTACACCCTGACCAAGTCGGATTTATCCCAGGGATGCAAGAATGATTCAGTATACGTAAATCAATAAATGTAATATACTGCATTAACAAAGTCAAGCACAAAAACCATATGATCATCTCAATAGATGCAGAAAAATCATTTGATAAAATTCAACACCTATTTATGTAAACTGCAAAAAATTGGAATAAATGGTCTTTATCTTAACTTGATAAAGGCTACCTGAAAAACCAACAGCCAGTATCATACTGAATGGTCAAAAACTGAAAAAGCTTCATGCTAAAATCAGGAAAAAGACAAGGATGTCTACTGTCACCACTTCTATTCAATATAGTTTTGGAAACAGCCACAGCAATTAGACAAGAGAAAGAAATAAAAGCAAGAAGGACAGGAAAGGAAGAAGTTAAGCTGTCATTATTTGCTGATGATATGGTACTCTACATAGAAGACCCAAAAAATACTGCCAAGACTTCTAGACTTAATTGACATTCAGTAAAGTAGCTGGGTACAACAAGGTAAATACTCAAAAATCAATAGCCTTGTACACAAACAACAGACTCACTGAGAGTGAAATTAGAGAAACAATCCCTTTCACAATAGCAGCCCCAAAAATGAAATGTCTAGGAAACAATTTAACAAAGGACCTTATTGAGAACTACAACACTCTGAAAAAAGAGATTGAAGAAGATATAAGAAAATGGAAAGACATCCCTTGCTCCTGTGTAGGAGGAATCAATATAGTGAAAATGGCCATACTTCCAAAACTGCTATACAGATTCAATGCAATCCCTATTGAAATTCCAACAGCATTTTTCACAGAACTAGAGAAAGCAATCCAAAAACTCATTTGGAACTACAAGAGACCTAGAATAGCAAAAGCAATTCTAGGCAACAGAGACATGGCAGGAGATATCACAATCCCCAATTTGAAACTATACTACAAAGCCACTGTGATAAAAACAGCATGGTATTGGCAAAGAAAAAGGCCTGAGGATCAGTGGAACAGACTGGAAGACACAAAAACAAATCCAGATGTACTCAGCTACCTCATCTTTGACAAAGGAGCTGACCATCCTCAGTGGAGGAAAGATAGCCTCTTTAATAAATGGTGTTGGAAAAACTGGATTTCAACCTTTCAAAGATTAAAACTAGACCCGTATCTTTCACCATGCACTAAATGAAAATCCAAGTGGATTAAAGATCTAAATATCAAAACAGAAACACTAAATTTGCTGGAAGATAACTTAGGTAGAACTCTTAAAGATATTGCCATAGGAAAAGACTTTGTGAACAAATCCTCAGTAGCACAGGAACTAGCACAAAGAATCAACAACTGGGATCTCATCTTTCTGAAATCTTCATGGCCTAAGAAATCACAAGCACAGCTAAGAAACAACCCACAATGTGGGAAAAAATTTTACCAGCTGTTCTTCAGACAAAGGTCTACTATCTTGAGTATAAAGAACTCAAAAAAGTCAGACCCTCCCCCAGACATAAAGACCCAGTTCAAAAATGGGCATCTGAAGTGAACAGACATTTCTCAGACAAAGAAGTAAAAGCAGAAAATAAACGTATGAAAAAAGGTTCAACATCACTGGTCATTCGAGAGATGCAGATGAAAACACTGAGATTCCATCTCACCCCAGTAAGAATGGTTGCTGTCAAGAAATCATCCACTGGGAATGGTGGCAAATGCCTGTAATCCCAGCACTTGGGAGGCTGAGGCAGGAGGATTTCTCTGCATTCAAGACCAGCTTGGGCTACATAGTTCTAGGTCAGTCTCAAGTGCATAGTGAGACCCTGTCTCGAAACACCAAAAAAAAAAAAAAAAAAAAAAAAAAAAAAAAAAAAAAAAAAGAAAGAAAGAAAGAAAGAAAAGAAAAGAAAGCAACCAATAACAAATGCTGGCAGGGCTGTGTGGAGATAGGAACTCTTCTTCATTGCTGGTGGGAATACAGACTGGTGCAGCCATTGTGGAAATCAATATGGAGATACCTCAAACAACTAGGATTAGAAGTCCCATTTGACCCAGCTATTCGTCTGCTTGGTATCTTCCCAAAAGAACCACATACTTTTTGTTTATGATGCTGAGCACAAGGATATCAAAGAAGACCCTGCTGTAGTCCCTTTCTCATTGCTGGGTGCCAGTAACTGACACCCACACCCTAACTGAGGAGAGGTTTATTTTTTGGTTCATATTTTCAGTCCCAGACTGCTGGCGCCAAGGCAAGATGGTTTAGTCCAGGGGCATGGGAAAGGAAAAGCTGCTCATCTCCTGGAAGACAGGAAGCAGAGAGTTAAGGGAGGAGATGGGAAGAGAGAAACCCTTCCAGGTCATGCCTTCAGTGACCTACCCTTTCTGTCTGACCTCACCTAACAGCAGGTGCCCCCATAATCCATCTACCTGCCCAAAGCCCCCCAATCTGATTGCATGAGGCTCTTGGGGGACATCTAGATGTAAACCATCACAGGACTGTCCCTCCAGTTAGATGGAGCTGACCCATCCTCATCAGATTGGTGTTCCACGATACCTGAAGTTGATAGCTGCTGGTATCATCCTTAGAGGTCCCACACTGCTCCTCTACAGTAGTGGTTCGAGGCAGCAGCTTACTGCCTGACAGCCAGGGTCAGTGCATCTTTAATTTTCTCACCCAGCTCCCTTGTTGGCAGCGGACAGTGGGTCCTGAGGGTCCAGGACAGAGCATAGAATAGTCTGTTGATGGTCTAAACCTTTACAGAATCTGGTTTTCTATTAAGAATTCACTTAGATCTTGTATCCTACTGTACGACCATCTGTTTCTCCTATTAAATCTGCCCCTGGAGGTGAGCAGTGTGGCCGTGTGGCTAGTTCTGTCCAGCACGCTGCTGCCCCTTGAGGGCCCAGGCCTCTTGGGTGGTATGGCCCTACTCCACTGTGAAGCAGCAGTCCACAGGTAGAGAGACTTGGTAAAATCAGAGTTCTGTCAGAGTTCTGCATGCCTCCCCTCCTCTCCTACCCGGATTCGAGATCCTATCAGTTTTCTCCCTCTTACCTTTTTCTATTGAGAGGGCATCAAAAGGAAATCTTCATGTCTTTTATGACCCATAATACTTCTAAAGTTGAACCACTTATACGTAATAATAATTTTCCCTTTGGAAAAGGTTTTCAGTATCTGTTTTAGTGATTTTCAAGAATGAACTAAAAATAGGTTAACCACTGTCAGTGCCTGATGCCACACTGAAAGAGAATCAGTGTGAAAATTGCCCAAGGAGGTGTGTTGGTGGACAGAATTAGCATTGTTATCTTTAGGCAATGTTTGTCAGATGTATATGTTGTTATATTTTCTAATATAAAACTACTGATTTTCAGGTATTTCTGACAAATGCTGCAAATGTTTTTCTGCTGGAACCTTGCGTTGAAGTTCCTGTGCTCTTGAAAGAGCAAGTTGATGCTTGCAAAGCTGTTTTGATTGTTTTTAGGCGTATGATAATGGAGCTTACAATGAATAAAAAGACATGGTAAGTTTGTTTCAAAGTATATTGCAAAACAGATGTTTCTGTTCTCCAACATAGTTAAAATGTTAAAGTTTCCATTTACTTAATGGTTTTACAAAGTTAACAATAAAACAATAATCAGTCTTTTGTAACAGTTTCTGTGATTTATAAAGAAGGTAAATACCCAGTACTTGGGTAGTTCATTTGTTTTCATTATTGTTTCTTAAAATGCTCTCAAACTAAATCATATTACTTAATAGTAGATTTTTTCCATTTTAAACATCATCAGACAGTCTGTGGAAAAGCAGTATGGTGTTTTATACTGTCATTGTTCATAAGCTCAGGAGAGGTTAATTATCCTGAAATGTTGCAAATTTATTTTTGTTGCTTAACTTGATGTTTTAAATTCACTTTGGAAAAACAATTTTTTAAAATGATGAATTATAAGAATGATTAATTAAATAGTGCAGTAAAAAATTCAGTGTCTTCGTAAAAGTATGATTTTTTTTCCTTTCTTCCTTTTTCTCTTTTTGTGTTTCTCTGTTATTTTCCTCAAGGTAGAGAGTATGCTAGATATTTCCTGTCCTCATCCTATAACAACTAAACACACTATCCCATCTTGCTAGGTGTTTCTGTGTTTTCAGCAGCAGACCAGAGAGCTTGCTGTCTCTTCCTGTGTCTTCCTATTCCTTTCATAGCGGTTCTGCCTTAAAATGCCTCTCAGGTCTGTCCTGTTGAACATTGTCTTCTGACCCATCAGTCCATCCACAGTCCCCAGTATTCTTCTGCCTCAGCTCCCAGCCCTGGCGTCATCCATTGCAGATCAGCAGGGACTGCGTCATTCTGCACGGGAACTTCCACAGTGTCACTCTGTCTGCTGGATTCCCAGAGCAGGTGGGAATGGTGCTTTACTAGGAATCTGTCTGCACTTGGTGTGCAGGAAGGAAGCCAGGTATCCTGGACTGCAGGAGCTGCAGGTCACTGAGTCTAGCCTTTTTCTTTTGAAGGTCATGGGTGGGTGCTGAAGAGCCCTGTCTTACAAAAAGTCCACAAATACAGAAACCACAAGTGTCAAAACAATGGCTTGAAGCTATAAATTTCAGTGTCATCTTCCTTGGTCTTTTAATTAGCACTGTTTGCCAAGTTAAGCCATCCTTATAGCTAGGAATATTAGAGTGATGCACAGTACCATTTAAACAGAGTTAAATGCCATATGAGTAATGTCAAGGGCAAAGAGAAATGCTGGCATCTTCTGGCAGAGAGGCATGCTCTTTAGACCACCGCTGTATCAGTGGTACTGGGTATGTGAGAACTGTGAGTTCTGTAAACCATGCTTCTAGTAGCATTTGGATACTTTTGACAATACTATTTCAACACTAGTGAAAATTCTAGGAAATCAAATTGAGCAGTTGTGCTCTCCTTAATTATTCAGAGATTGCAGTGTAAAAATATAAAAAGACAAATTGTAGAAATAAATGTAAATACTCATCAAAATAGTCATTGGAGTGTAGAAAGGTACGGGACCTGTTTCTCAGACAGGTATCTTACATTTAAGTACAAGATGATTGTTGTCTTTTCCCTCTCTCTCTCTCTTGTTCTTTTTCCTTCCCTCTTTTCCCTGTTCATCTCTTTCTTTCTACCCAATATGTAACTGTTGAGCCTCTCCCGTTGAGGGTACAGTGGAGAGCTAGATAGACAGGGCCCTGCCACAGGAGAGCTTCAGCATAGTAAACACATAAGCTTTAGCCAGTTCTAGGTGTGAGGAGTAGTGGGGAGGCCCAGAAAGTTCCAAGTCATGGGTCAGGGAGAGCCTTTCTGAGAGAGCAGCTATATGCAGGTCACATAGGAGCCTTCCTACAAGAGCAGCAGAGGCAGAAGCCCCCATGGTGGAAAAGGACAAAGATGGTACATCCAGGAAGCAGCAGTTGGGGAGAAGGGAGTGGGAAGTAGGAGGTGCGGCAGGCCAGGGCCAGGCTGCAGGAGGAGGCACCCTGTGTCCTTGGATGCACCAGTGTCTCACAGACCAGCTTGTGTTCCCAGAAGCTTGCTCTCTCCCCAGGTGGAGAAGGAAACAGGCAGTGTGCACAGTTTCTGAGGCCAGGGCACTGTGGGTTACAGCAGGGCTGTGATGGGGAGATGCCAGGCAGTAGTCCTCAAACAGTGGCTGTGAGACATGTGGATGAGTAGAAATCCTGCCTAAGACATGCGTGTGGGGGATCCCAGCACTGCACTCCTCCTGTCTGCCTATCACACCATGAGCGCAGCTCTCCATTGGGGACTAAGCAAAAGCTAGTGTTTCCTGGAGCAGAAGGAAGCAGCCGTGATCCAGACTGGTGGCTGGTCACTTTGCATGCTTGCTCCTCCTGTGTTAGGAAATGGTTTTCCAACCTGGGGGAGACACCATATTGGAATTCCCTGCATTCCATGCTCTCCTAGTTCCAGACCCGGGATCCATGCGGTATTGTTGCAGGTTGCTGCATCCATTCAGCTTGTGCTCTTTAACAGCAGCTACTTTAACAGCAGCTGAGGTCTTGTTCAGAACCCTGGATGTGTCTGGTTCTTACCATGTTCACGTGACGACTATGTAGCTGCTGGTGCAGAAGGGATGGCTTCTGGCCTGAAGCATGGTGTGATGTAAGCAGGCAGTGGTAACACCAGGTACTGCCATCTTCTGTGCCACCAGGCTTTGGGCACCTGCCTGGAGAATAACAGGCTGGCCCCACTGCCTTTTCTTCCCATCCTCCTCTTCAGAGTTATGCCCGCATTGTAGGGACTTGATTATTCTTCCCCAGCTGCACTTTCTGGGATCCCTGGGCTATGTGGAGGGATGAACAAGCCCGTGGAATAGAGTGCTCAGAGAGTGTGGGCCTAGGGCTGCGATAGCGGCCAGCTGCCAAGAGGGCAGCCGCCTCTGATGTCACTGCACCGTGAGGAGGTCATTGAGGTGCAGCATTGCATATGGTGAGAGCAGAGGTGGGAGAACAGTAGAAAGGATCTGGGATTTAGGGAGCTCCTCCAGCCTGACCAGCTTATTCTGTCATCAGTTTTACCACCAACGAGGAGAGCAGTAAAGCTGAGTGGGCCAGTGTGTGACACTACCCAGGTGCCATCACCTTCCCCTTGGAGTACACACAACAGGCCACATATGCTGTGTTCCTGCAGAACCCAGGAAAGAAAGACTGAACAGACACGGATAGAGGAACAGAACTCAGCTGTATGCAGGAAAAATACCCTGTTGTCTGTCATCCTAAACCACTACTTGCCATAACTAGCAGTGTTATGTTGTCTCCACAGGCTGTATGTTCTTCAGAGACCTTTCACCTAGAGTCTGCTTCTGGTAACCACAATGCTGGTGTATGGTGACTGTAATGTCCTGACCATGTAGTGCAGTTGTGCATCAGGGTGCAGTCAGAATCTTACAGGCCCCAGTGAGGTGTCTGTTGGCATCCAGGAACACTTTTCCAGCCCTCTGCCTGCTCTGGGACTGCAGGGCTCAGTTGTGCTGAGGTACTGACTGCAGGTGTCCCTAGAAACAAGACCAGAAAGTCAGCTTCATTTTTTGTCACAAAGATCAACAGGGAGGCCTCCAGGTTAAGCAGAGTTGTGGGTAGGAATCTAAAGAATGCTGTGTGAGTTCATTCTGAGGTCGTTGTGTCTAAGGTACTGGCACTGCCCCCGTCACCATCTCCCATCCTTTCTGCAGGGGAAGTCAGGCTGGATGGGGAACTCTCCTCCTGGCTGTTGGCCTGGATTCAGCAGGCATATTTGTAGAACTGTTGCAACATAGAACAGCTTATTTTTATACAATGTGGTATTTGTGATATAAATGGAATATAAACTTTTAATACTTTGGAATAACACATGATTATCAATATTGATGGTCTTAAAAGTATTTCTCTTACCTATAAGGTCCTTCGGAGATGTGGTCCTTCAGATTATTAATCTGAGCTTTTATTTTGGGTGGCCCAGGGAACAGATGTTGCAAATACTACTCAGGATAACAGAAGCTGTCATGCAGAAGCCAAAGGATAAACAAATAAAGGACTTGTTTGCCCAGAGCTTGGCAGGGTTACTGTTTAGGGTAAGTCTTTTTTTATTAAAACACTGCAGATGCAAGAAATAAATCAGATTTTACAGCAAATCAGCATTAATCATTAGAATGTTAAGAGTAATATTAAATTAACTTCAAATTTTTAGAAATCTTTCTTAGCCCTGTCCTAAACAATGTGATCTTTTTTTTTTTTTTTTTTTTTTTTTTTTTTTTTTAAATAATTAGTGCTGGGCTTTTAGGCTTTTTTTCCCCTCTCTGCCATCTACTTCTTCCTGATTTGCTTGATGGTGATAGATCTTAGGAAGGTGGCAAGAGCTGAGCCAAGGGCCTTGGTGGAGGGACAGCTAGATTTGGAGAGGTACAAGATGAATGGCAGCTGGGAATAAGGTGAAAACTCAAGAGCTGTCAGCATGCTAAATAGTTGTGTTTAAGCCCCAGGCCTGGCATGTAACCTAGGGAACAAATGTGCCAGAGAAGAGGCCTCTCCATGGTTGTCAGAAGGGAGGGAGCCAGGCCCAGATGCTTAGAAAAGGCAGCCATTGAGCTGGAGGAGAGCCAGAAGTGGGTGCTCTGGGCGCCCAGGGAGGAGGACAGTAGCCAGGGGACCTCTGGCTCTTATGTTGGTGGTTGAAAGTGAGCTGATGAAAGAGAAAATGTGAGCCAGGCAGTGGAGGTAGCAAGTGTGAATGAGACCTGCGAGAGGTCTTGGTGTGGGAGGAAGCAGCTGGTGTGGGTGGATGTGTGTCAGCAAGGTTTAGGGTGGCAGCACCAAGTGTGTTTGCTTACCAGTGTGTTTGCTTTCCAGTGTGATGGTCTGGAAGAGTAGGACAGTGTGGCCAGGAGACAGAATTGCGAGAATTGTGTCACAGACACAGTGGGGCTGTGTTTTCATATCCCACAGGCACTGTGGAAGGAATAGGAGTGGGCTGATGGCTGATGGACACCTGCAGGGTAGAAGTACCCAGACCTCAGGGCAGCAGCCTTCTGTAGCATTGCCCATAGTTTTAGGGACCAGAGAATTTAGGGCGTTTTGGAAAGAAGATGTGACTTTCTACATGAATACAGGTGTTGATACCCAGGTGTGTGAGCAAAAGCTGGGTCAGGCACTGGCATACTGCTTTCAGGGAGGAGGCACTGCTGCCCTTACCCAGTTGGCTGGAAGGAACGTGTAGACTAGCAGGTAACACGTGCAGGTAAAGGTGACAGAAAGAGAAGTTACTCTAAAGCTAAATGTTTCCATTGTAACTCTTCTGTTCATATCAAATTGCAATAAGTTATTTTAGTTATGATCTCAGCTTGTAAACAGAGGACCGAAATGCTGCAGAGCAGACAGGCTAACTCATTTCCTGAGTATGGCTCCTTTACCCCTGGTGGCCTTGCCTACTTTGTGTGGTGTGGAGTGGCCTTGCATGTGGGTTTTACCTATGCACACCTTTGCTTTGCTGTAGCTGAGAGTGGCACCGGTTACTGCCCCACTCCCGCCTGTGCCTTCCTGGCCCTGCATAGTGGTCTCAAGGCCGGCACCCTCCCAAGCACCTGGCCCGGGTCTGGGGTGTTGAAGGGGCCTGAGCTGAGGCACTGTCCTGCTGGCCAGTGTGAGGAGCTCCACTTACCAGCTGTCCAGCCTACCATGGTGTGCAGTGGGATTAGAGAGAGAACTTGGTGCAGAATTAAGTGAGAATCTAGTGTGGAGTTGTGGGTTTTTTTTTGTTGTTGTTTGTTTGTATTTGGGGGTATTCCCTCATTAATGGAGAAATCTTGACAGATCTTCCATGAGGAATATTTTGGGCTCATGATTGTTTATGACTCTGATTGCAGTTGTTTTAGAGGGAGGTTGAGCTTTTTGGAGTTTGACAGGTCCTGCTGCTGACCTCTATGGTGGCACTTCCTGGTGGCATGGCTAATCTGCAGTCAAAAAAGGACTCCTTCCCACTTGGGGGTCAGTGTGGGTTCTTGGGATTCAGGGTCATATGCTGACCTCCCAAGTCCTTATGTGAGATCCAGAAGGGGGAAAAGGGGAGCAGTCTGGACAGCTGGGGAGGCCATCAGGTGGGCACCATCTAGTATCACACTGTAGTGAAAGTGTGCTCAGTATGACTAATTTGTTCCATGACTGTCTACAATGGCCGGATGCTTGCTTGCCTTTTTTATTTACTTATTTTTTTGACATTTTTAGACTGTTAAAAAGGACAAGAAATTTCTAAGTTACTATTCGTTTATCTTCTTTTGATTTTTCCTTTGGAGTTATTTATTTATTTATTTATTTATTTATTTATTTATTTATTTTTTGTCAGTAGGTAATCTGTGTAGAGCTTTCTTCTTTTTGACATTTTTAGACTGTTAAAAAGGACAAGAAATTTCTAAGTTACTATTCGTTTATCTTCTTTTGATTTTTCCTTTGGAGTTATTTATTTATTTATTTATTTATTTATTTATTTATTTATTTATTTTTTGTCAGTAGGTAATCTGTGTAGCAAGCTTTCTTCAAATTGTGGAAAATTAAATATTTACCTAATGGCAATAATTGCCCAAAGTGATGTCTAAATCTTTATCAGGGCTGACTTTGACCTTAAAGGTGTATGGGAAGCAGTGCTTCTGCTGTTCACAGGCTGATCTGTAACTTGACAGTCAGGGAGCCCTTGAGATGGCGGCAGAGGGAGGCAGGCAGTGACTGGGGAGTGGGGTTTTTAAAATTCATTTACTTATTTGTTTAATTTTTTTGACATAAGATCTCACTATGTAGTACAGGCTGGCTTCCAATCACAATCCTCCTGCCTCAGCTTCTCCAGTGCCAAGATTTCAAGCATGTGTCACTATGCCCACCTAGAGCTATAGTGTTTGTACAGTTTCTGTGCTAAGCAGTAGTGAGTATCACTGCTGAGGGATCTCTACCAGACCAAAGACAGGCCCAGGTGACATGCCAGGTGAGTCCGGAGCTCTCCTTCCCTCTCCTTTTCAAAAGGAGAATTGATGAAAAGGGCACCTGTCTTCATGTGCAGAGAGGCCAACCCCGCTCACTCCTAACTCTGGACTCCTCTGCTTTGCGCTGTGTGCAGTGCTGTCATGATCCACATAGATGATTTCTAGCTGTGTATATATTGATGCTACTCAGTAGCAGGAATCTTAAGGCTACCAGAAACCTTCCTTCTTGTTTTATAATTAGTCAACAAAGTGAAGCCAAAGAGTACCCTCGGTCCAGGGCCTCTTGTTGCATCACAATAGCAGGCTTTGTCCCTAGGGCTCCCCGTGAGCAAGCATCATATCTCTAATCTCTCCTCTCTCTTCTGTTCTGCTGAGATTATGTTTATTATCTAATAACATACTGATATTTATTATTAGATCAGCATCTACTGTTATGTCAGGATTGTTTTTATTGTATGCATGCACTGTATGGTAATGGCCTCAAACTGCCTATGAAAATAGCAGTATATAAATGAAACTGGCATTTCAACCTTAATAAAAATATTCAGTGAAGTATTCATAAATGTAATTTTTTCTTTCACGTTGTTCTAAATTTTAAAAAAATTATTCATGTTACTACCAGATCTTGAATGAATCTTAAATCTTGTTTTTTTATATATTTAACTATTTTAGTTCTACTTTGCATTTTTATCCTTTACAAAACTATAGTAAACATGAATTGAAACACATAGAACAAATATTTTTAAATAATCATTTTAAATATGCTTTTGCAAGTGGTCAGAACAGGCCTGCCTAATTATAGACAGATTCATATTTTTCAGTTTTCCTGTGTCTGTGTTAAAATTTTTTTTTATCTTAAAAAACAATCTATATGTAACTTGTCATCTTTAGAGGACAGGGTGTCCAAGTTGCTAACTGAAGAATAAGTGGGCATTAGAGAGGCAAGATGGAGGAGGGGCAGGAAGAGCACATGCAAAGGCACAGGGGTGCTGCATCCAGCCTACCATTGCTATATGCGAGGGCCTAAGGTCCAGCAAATGCCCCTCTCTGGGGAGCCTGGGAACAGCAAGAGGCCAGGGCATGCTCTGGGCTGTGTGCAAGACTCAGTGGAGTCTCAGGCTCAGAAGGTGCAAGAGTCAGGGAAGCGAGGAGGTGAGGATGAGGAGTGAGTGTGGCACTGTGGTGTTTCCTTTTGGAGGTTTGGCTTCACCATGGGAGATCTGGGGCCAAAGGAAGTGTTTCATTATTTTAAGATGAGAAGAGATTCTGAACAAGGGTCTAGAGTGGAAGGGGAGGTATGGGAGCCCCTCTCAGAGGACAGCCTGCAGGAGGAGCAGAGTGAGTGCAGCAGGAGCAGAGTTGGGGTCTGAGGTTTGGGTCCTTTTAGTGGCCCGTCCCTCCTAAGTCTGCAGGAGCAGGTCTAGAGCTTACACACAGAAGGGAGCTGGGTCCGAGGCTCTGCATCACCAGTAGCATCGTATACAGCGATAACTAAATCCTAATTACATTAGACAAATGCATTTTGAGAATTTGAAAAACTAGATCTGAAAGTACTTCTCATTTTGAAACTTTAATAATACTGACTTAAGATACTTTGTTCAGTATTAACACCTCTCCCCATCTGGTTCTCTTGTGGCGGTTGGTTTTAGACGCTCATCGTGGCATGGATCCGAGCAAACCTTTGCGTGTTCATCTCTCGGGAGCTCTGGGATGACTTTCTGGGTGTGCTATCCTCCCTCACTGAGTGGGAGGAGCTCATCAGTGAGTGGGCCAACATCATGGACTCCCTGACTGCAGTGCTGGCGAGAACTGTGTACGGAGTTGAGCTGACAAACCTACCTCTGGACAAGCTAAGTGAGCAGAAAGAGAAGAAACAACGGGGCAAAGGTAGGCCCAGTGAGGTCAGGGAGGAATGGGTCTCTACATCTCAGTGAAACAAACACACAGCATTTTACAGTGACTGCATCATCACGGAGGGTCCCTTAGTGTACTAGGTTGTGTCTTCTACTGCTCTGTCCCCTAGTGAGAGTGATGTGTTTCTGGAGAGGAGGAAGATGAGCAGGCTGGGCAGCAATGACCAGGGCTGTGCAGTCTCCTATCCTCATGATAATCTGAGAAGCACGAGCCGTCACTGTCTCTGTCCCACAGACATAAACCTCAAGTACAGGGACTTCACAGTGATGGGCCCATTCTAGGTCACAGTGTTCAGAAGTGGCACAGGCAGAAATCAAAACCAGACAAGTCTAGCTGAAGGTGTCACACTATGAAGACCTGCTCTGCCTAGGAAATGTGAAGAAACAAGGCTTCAGATGGAAGCCCTTTGGTTCTTATTTTTCTGGGTAAAAACCATTTTGAGACCTAGGATCTCAAATGAAAATGATGTTTTTGAGATTTAAAAAAAAAACAACTGGAGGTTTCTACTAGGAATGACAATTTGGCATTCTATGTGTGTTACAGTTCTTAAGGCTGTGACATGGTCTTTGAATTAATTTGTCTGCACTCCAATTTATACTGTAAATATTTGGGGCAATTCATAGAAAAGCATTAGTACAGTAGATCATGTGAGAAGGGAGCAGGGCAACACAGACAAGGAAGAGCTACAGGTAAGGCTGCTGTGTCAGTCCTGTGCTTGCTGGGGGATGTGAGGTGTGGTCTTGGATTTGACTTTGATTTTCACTGAAGCTCATTCAACAGGAACACAGAGTACCTCAGGTAAAAACAGTCCTCTTCCTTAGATGATATGTAACCTTCATGGGTTGTAAGATATAGGAGAAATCTCTCCTTCAAAGCCCCATTAAGAGGACACATGGCTAAGTGTATTTAGACAGCACATCAATAATAATTGTAGTGTAGGCTATATACAGTTAGTGTTGCTGTATGATCTGGTGGCTTCATGTAACAACCATTTACTTAGACCACAGTGTTATAGTTGACAATTTGGGCTGCATTCTGTTGGTCAGTTTTGCTGGTGTTTTCTTGATTCACTCCTGTGTTTGCAGTCTACAAAGCCATGCAATGGTCAACCAGGCAGCTGTCCTGGGGACAGCAGTGTGACTAGGCCACATATCTCATCACCCAGCAGGCTGATTCAGGTTTGTCCACGTGATGGCTCAAGTTTTCCGGAACAGCAAGGGATAAGCTCAAACTTTTCAAGTGCATTTTAAGTCTTTGCTTGTTTATAGTTTTGCTACCAGACTAAGTCACATGATGAAGCCCAGAGTCAGTATGGGACGGACAGCAGTAGGTGTGGCTCCAGGAGATATGAACTGACCACAGTAATTAGTTAGCCATATGACATGTAGTTAAGGGACTGATTTTTTGTCTTCAGTAGAGATTTGGAATGAAAGTAGGGTTGGGAGCCAAGAACTTGGGCCCTTGACTCTTTTCATTCTCTTTTACTACTCTAAGGGCCTCTATGTAAACCAAGGTCTGAAAGGATCAATGTGCTTCCAGCTGGGAACTTGGCTGCCTAGGCCAATTATCCTTAGCCCAGAAGAGTTTGCTTTGCTAAGAGTACCTTTCAGGATAGAGGCAAGGAACTGAGAGGAGATAAGGACTTACTTCCTCACTAAGTACATTTCCTGCCTCCTGACATCTTCATGCACATGTACACATGTACACACTTACCATTCTACAATATTCTCTCCCCTTCTACTGTGCAAACATACGTTTCATAGTGGCACAGACCAAATTATGTAATAGTGACTATAATACATGTTTCTAATTTGTATTGCTTTATTCTAAAGTAGGATTTAAATATCGATTATGGAAACACTCTTTCCTCCTATATTTTGGGTTCATGACCTCTCTTTGAAATAACTGATCAGAACAATATGAGAAATAGGAGAAGGTGAATCTCTGATTGCAATGCTTAATTGTTTTTGGAGTTTTTCTAAAATAAGATGTCATATTATTTATAGATTTTCATTATCTTGCTGCTTTGACCAAATTTCCGTTAGGGCTTCTAATTGGATTTCTCTGGGGATTTATGAAGGAGTTGGTGTCTCCAGGATACAGCACTGTTCTAACATCAGGATCTCTGAATTTTTGGCTATCAGTAGTGGTTTTAGAAGTGTCCTGGGAACTGTGGTGTAACTTCATTTGACATTTTCTTGTATTGAGAAAGGGTTATTAATACATTCTTTTGTGTGTTGAAGTGAATATGATGAAGATGAAGATTATTCAGTGATAAAGACATTCAGGTTGCTGGCCTATGGCTAATGTCCTGCACTGTGGTGTAAGGAAGCATCCCTTGTCTGCAGCAGAAGTCTGCTTTTGTCTGTCACTCTATGTACTACTCCTTTGCTGAGCAACATAGGTAGTGAAGGAATGGTAATGTATTTAGGTTTCACAGTGTTTTCTCACCTTTTCTCCATCAGGCTGTGTTCTGGATTCTCAGAAAGGGACCACTGTGGGGAGATCCTTTTCTCTCAGCTGGCGGAGCCACCCAGATGTGACCGAGCCCATGCGATTCAGGAGTGCCACCACATCTGGGGCACCTGGGGTGGAGAAGGCAAGAAATAACGTCCGCCAAAAAGCAACTGGTAAGCGATGATTTAAATATTTCTGAGAAATCTATCTGTTATCTAACATGGACTAACAGGAATTAAATGTTTTAAAATTCTACTCAGAATTTAGATGAAATATTTCTCCATCTTTTTGACTTTCTGTTCTAGTTATTTTTCAAATTGTAGCTCTTGATATTTAATTCAAAACACTCTGCTGTGGGGGAAAAAAACCTTGAGATGTTAACATTGAGTAGACATTTGTGCAAAATAGAAGAAACAGAGGGTTGTTTGGAATATTGAAGAAACTAGATCCCTAATACACCATTAGTCACATTACTGTCATCATTAAACCAGTGTTAATCTCAAAAAGAGTGTGGTAGCCATTCTGACAAAGAAAAAGGATGTACTCATTCTTCAGGACTGGATGGAGACATTTTCATTTTTTGCTTCTTTGGAAATTGACCTTTTTGTTGATGGAAGTTGTCTCTTACAGCCTATTTGAATTAATAAGAACTTGACCAAGAACTCCTAGCTGATCTGACTGCTTTGCTGACTTTCACTCATAAAATAAGAAGAGAAAAAAATTTGAAGCTTGTGTCCAGTATTTAAAGAGAACAAATAAAGTTTCCTTCTCTGCAGTGGCTTTTAGGCTGTAGCTTATGTTTAAAACAACTATATCTCAGTTTCCTATAGTTTTCTCATCAGTAATATCATGCAACTGTAATTGGCTTTCAGCATGTTAACTTCATAAAATTATAAGGCCCTCTGGTCATAAAATAGCGATTCAAACTTAACGTACTTTATATTGCTTATTAAAAGGTTAATAGAGATGATTTAGAATTCTGTTGGAGTTTGTTTTGTTTTTTTTTCTCATTGAGTTTACTGGTACATTTTAGGTATACAGTACAGTTACATTCATTATTGGGATCTTGTACCTTTACATGACAGGTCTTTGAGAGTTTTTAATAAAAATATTCTTTAACCCAAACATCTCATGATTTTTGCCAAATATTTAGTGGTAATTACTACCTTATCTACCTGCATCTCCAATTCTGCTTCTCAATTTTGTTCATACTATTCACTGAGGAAAGAACTTATTCCTGGTAATGTTCAGCTTTTGGGGACACTCATTCACTGATTTCCTAACTCACTCCAGCTCCTATAAATGTCTTTTTTTCTATCACTGGATTCTTAAAAGAAGGTGATCAGAAGTTTTTGACAAAAGCTAGCACATTTCTGAGCTGCTCAAACTTTGTGCTGTTCCTTGCCCTTCTTGGATCACAATTACAGTAAAAATACTAATGCAAAAAGTACTTTTTAAACTTTATTCTCACATGTTAACAAGCAGCAAGTTACTGTACACTGAGTGCTCCTTGTGCCATTGCTTGGCTACTGCAGTCACAGAAGACATTACACCCCCATTTCCAGCAGGTATTATAAGCCACCAGTATGGTAGAGGGTCCAGTGTATTTAAAATACTCAGCACTGTTCAGCCAGCCAGGTTATGCTTGTTAGTACTCACAGGGGGGAAATCACACTGTTATACACTCAGGTCAAAGGTTTTGGGGAATGTATGCTTAAACACCACAAGCCTGGCCCCAGGGCATGAATTATATACATGTGTATATTTTTTTAATTGGAAACTTTATCTTTGAAAGATAATGAAGATGAAACATAAAAATATAACCAAGCAGTCACGGAGTAGAGAAATGGCTGTGAGGTTAACAGAGAGTGTGTTGTAATACAACTTCAGAGGCCCAGCTAACAGTCTTAGAGGAAAACTCTGTCCCTGGGTATGCTTGATGGTAAGAATTTAGATGTCTAATATGTGCACATGATCAGAGCAAGTCTTAATTTCCACACAAAACTTTCCATATTTCTTTATTTCTAAAATGTCTAGAAAAAGGAGAACCATTTGTTTTCTAACAGGAAAGCTTTTAAAACAATACTTAAATGAAAAGTCTCTGATATATGGAGAGATGCACAAATCTCTTAGGAAATTTGAAGTGAGCCAGCTTGACAGTTCTATGACATTCATCATTTACATGCATGACCTACATTGTAATCATGTTGCAGATTGCCCTCTCCCTGGGAAATCTAATAGAAAAGGATGGGGGAAAGGACAATAAAGTGAAAAGATTTGTTTCACTTTTTGCAAATGTGCCACTATCACTTGTAGTTCCTTTCATTTCAAATTAATATTAAAGGTACATAAAAATATAGGAAGTAAACCTTTATATGTATGTTTAAGGAAAAAACTGATTTTATGCATTATGGTTTTATATATATGAAACATTTCCTCTATTCACCCTTTTCTCAAATGTTTCTTTTACTGGTAGTACATAGAAAACTTTAAAAATATCATAAAGTCGATACCCAGAAAATATGAATTTAATAAACATGAAACATGATACAACAGGGTAAGTTTTATGGAGAGTTTAGTGGTTTTCTTTTATATACCAAATCTTTTAATATTCAACTCAACTGTCATATGTTCTTGAGCTTTTAGAATAATTAATCTACAAAAGATTTGCTTTTGAATACAGTCATCTCTCAGCAAATAAGTTTCTAAGTTATTTATCCTTTACCGAAATATTGTCATCTTAAGCCATATTTTCCGTCTCTCAGCCTGGTCATTTTGTGACCTTTAGGAGGGATGGAGCAAATGTTTACCTAAATAAACAGCCCAAATGACTCTGTTGCAGAGTAGAAAAAAGGAAAAGCTAAGCACAGAAGGCACCCTAGACTAAATAGGTTCTCTGTGATTGCCCATTCTTGTGTCTCAGAGTGACTGAAAGCTGGCTGTATTTATTTAGACTGTGATTAAATACTGTAGTCTGTACTGACTTTCTTTAAACTTTAAAATGACTTCCTTTAAATGTGTAAGGAGAGCCCAGAAATAGAATAATTAAAAAGTAGTGAAAGGTCTTGATATGCTTCTGACATGATATTGCTTTATCTTTCATGGAAGCTAAGCGAAGCCAGTCTATCAGCAACTGTGTCCATCTCTCTGAGGCTTTGCCTGCCACTAAAAGCGTCCCGCTCCTACTCCACACCGTGAGCGCTCTCTTACCTGGTCTCTCTTACTCCTCTTGCTCTCACAGGCTGTCAGGTACTGTAATGCCACCTTGTGTGGCCCCCCACCTCATGTCCCTCACCTCCTCCTGCATCCTCTGGACCTTTCTTCCTTTGTCACTGTTTCCATATCACACATGCTGCCTACTATCATACTGAGTTGCTTCAGTGGATATTGATAACTATTTATGTGGTTAGATGTATAGTAGGGGTTAGATAGTCACGAGAAACTTCTGGAACCTTCTGGCACTTAAGGAAGATAGAAGGATTTTTCAGGCCTGTAGTTTAGTAGTGAGAATGTGATGCTTGCCTTCACGTGTCTTAGATAGTGTCCCTACAGAAAGTAAGGGGATTCTTAAAAAATCTTATAAATGTTTTAAGCATATCAGTATTAGAATGCTTACTATGCCTTTTAAAAAAATGAAAATACTAAATAATTATGAAGACTTTCATAGAGATAATAAATCATATCCATATATAAAATAATGATTAGTTTGTGGAGATTAATACTGATAATTGAGATCTGAGTAAAAAATGCTAAAAAGTGCTACTTTCCAAGACAAATATATGTCCTCCCTGAACATTAGCCAGCTAAAATTGAAGTTAGTCATGTGTGGTTTATGCACTGCTTTTTTTTAAAAGATATTACAGCATATTTTACAGGAGAGTGAATATAATTTACAATAATGATTTTATATTTCAAAATACCTAGAAGAGAGTTGAATATATTCATCATAAAGCTATGATAAAAGTGTGAAGTGATAAATGTTCTAATTATCCTGATGTGATCATTACCCAATTATACAGACAATACATTGTATGTCATAAATGGATATAGTCATGTGTCACGTGAAAAAAAGATATTAGAGTACCAAAAGTGATTTTTGGCCTAGTTACCTCAATGAAAGGATTTACTTTTCTACAGTTAATAATTACATCTATATCTACATATTTTTCATTGATTCCAAGATAAAGCAAATGTTCTTATTAAAAAGGAAATATATTTTTATGCTCTTTATGGTTTCAGAAATCTGACATATTAGTATTTTTTAAATACTAGAGCTAATTGTGGATTTTTGTAGCACTAAACCATGTCACATTGTAGTTTGGCAAAACAAAATAAACGCATAAATCTTCAATGGGTGTGTAAAATACCATATGACTTAATTTACAGAATATGAAGGAAGAAGTTACTTGAAATTGAGAACTACAAAGTTTCTTGGAAGCCTTTAGTAAACACTGAAGGGGAAAACAGCAAGAATGGTACATGGAGAAACAGTCACCATAAGTGAATTACTGATGAGCATTATTTGCTTGGTTATTTGGTTTTGCAGAAAGTGCTGTTCCTTAGAGTTAATTAATGAAATATTTTAAGTTAATTTGACTAATATATACTCAAAAAGATTTTTTTTCTTGGGTAGAAAATTTTACTTCACAGTCTACTTTTTTCCATTAAGTTTTTACTAATTTTTCTAGAATGTCTTCTCACAATAATCTTTTATTAATAGTTTCATTTTGGAAATGTTTGTTCTCTTTCAGCATTATATTTTATTTACCCAGATTCTTGGTTTCTGTATATATTTGCATGGTTCTAACTGAAGTTGAATGATTTAGAGCAGTGGTTCTAGACTGGGGACAATTTGGGCAGTGTCTGGAGGTATTTTTGGGGTGGTCACAGTACAATGATCCTTGCAGTATCTAGTGGGTGGAACCCTCAGGTGCTGAGAAACATAGTATAACCTGAAGGGAAGCAGACTGAGAGAGCAGTCTGCTGTTCTCTTTCACCTGACAGCTGCAGGAGCGAGCTCTTTCTTAGTCTGATGCCAGTTGTTCTTTATTACAGAAAATGATGCCATTATCCTCTGTGACTGTCCTATAAAGACAGTGGGCCAAGAGCAATATACATCAGCCCCCATTCAGTGTACATACACATGCTTCACTGCTTGGCTCTGTGAAGATTGAGTTTGTGCTCAGCTTGTTCTACTTTAAATCCAAGTGCCTGGGCATAGCCTACTTATCTCTTGATAGATAATATGCAAATAAAATTATTTTGGATATACTCTGGATTGAACCTATTACCTTCACATTGAGCTATATCTCTAGCCCTTTTTTATTTTTTATATTTGAGACAGGGTCTCACTAAGTCACTAATTTTCCCAGGCTAGGCTCAAACCAGTACCTCCTACCTGAGTAACCAGTGTTGGAATTACAGGTATATACCACTACACCCAACAATTAATTTTCCTTTCTGGCCACAAGTTCATTACCATATCAGTGATTGCTAATTTTATTTTTACTTAATGTTTCATGTTTTTGTTTTTAATCTAAATAGTCAACCCACCAAAATTGTTTTAGTCACATAAGAAAGAGAGATGCATTTCTTTCAATCACTATTATATCTCAATCTGATCCTTTGGGAACTCTTTATTAGACAACAGCAGAATTTGAGGAGTTCCTTGGGTTTGGGGGAAGGAAATGTTTGTATTTTGGGAGACTAGCAACTAAGTTTTTATTAATGTGAATAACTGTGTCACGCACACACACATGCACACAGCCCCAGGAGGTAGCGTCCTGGAAGTTGTTCCTTTGTTGAAATACTTCCAGCTGTTTGCAGTTTCAGCCACCTTATAGTTGGGACATTTATCATTCTTTTGCCTTCATAGGCCATGAAGATGTTAGAGAGTGCTTTTCTTTAATAGAAAGCCTTCAGGTCCTAATGAGAAGCCTTGCCTGGCCTGCTCTGCACCTTGCTCAGGCTCTACAGTAGAGCTCCCTGTCTGTACCAGGCTGACTTACCTTGGGAAGCCTCAACTTTGGGAAGCCTTGAGGTGCTGAGTGGCCATGTACCTTCTGTGCTCTATAGAAGTCCGGGTTGTATCATGTGTGATATTAAAAGTTGGGAAGCCGGGAGTGGTGGCACATGCCTGTAATCCCAGCACTCGGGAGGCTGAGGCAGGAGGATCGCTGTGAGTTCGAGACCAGCCTGAGCTACATAGTGAGTTCCAGGTCAGTCTCAACTACATAGTGAGACCCTGTCTCAAAAAACC